AGGTGACGAGTTAGTCTTGGATTTCATCAAATGTCACATCTTAATCCTCCTTTTCCTATCCGTAAGTCTTTATATACGGTGAGGAGGAAGAACCCAATAAATTCGATCTCTCTGTGTTTTTCGGATTTGCCTGTCAGCATGTATAGCTTTCATTTCCGGTGAAAGCACATTTGGTGGTGGTTTGTCTGAGGCACGTTCGTGTCGTTGTCGTCAATGTTGACGCGACGAGACTACTGGGACGAGATTATTGTTACTCCGGCTTGTTGACACTCTTCTGTATTTGAATGTATGCGAATGGTGGTGATAGCATCTCAAGTTGTTGTATCATTCATCTTTAACTGGTAATGGGCTTGTTCAAGTGTAATACGTCATTCGTATGCATGAGTACTTTGAGGACACAGTTTCATTCAAATGCAAATTTGGGGATGCGTTGTTTTATTCATGTAGAAACCATGTGGCATGACGTGCTGAATGCTCGCATATGGATCTGGTAGTCGTGTGACATATTTGAAGTTTAAAGTTAGCATATCCTGTCAGATTGTTGGGTAGAGGATTAAAAAACAAATGAGTGATTGCTTCTTGCTACGAGGAAAAAACATTGCACAAAAAATGCGTAGATTCTGAAAATATTTAGTAGATTAAGAGATACTAGATTTGCAAATATTCCAATAGAATGCACAGCATCAAAAAGGAAAGTAATCGCAACGGGACTAGCCTTAGAACAATTTGAACTTGTAAACAACATGTAAATGGGCAATATCGTTTGGACAGACAGAGGAGAGAGAGATAACCGTTAAATTAGAGCGAATGTAGCTGTTTTGGTCTAGTTATGGTTATTAGAGGTTCGTTCCGCGAGATTTAATAACAGATATTGTCATAACGCATAACATGTACCATGCAGATCAAAGCTATATCAATTGTCTGGCAGCTTAAAACAATGATTCTATATTTAAATAATCGATGTAGTCGCAAGGCCGTGTTTATATCACTTCCGGTGAGGGAAACACGAGATTTATGCAGACAAGATTGCCTAACATTTCGAAACTTTTGACCTCCACTCTCTGCCAATGACACCAAGGCGCTATGTGTACGTACGGAAAGCACGCACCTCCAAACCTGCCAATCAAGAAGGAAAGTTATAAATATTTTACTATCAACCAGGAAAGTTTAGCGGATTATTACTCTTGGAATATTGAAGAGAGCGTTCTCCCCAAGAGCAGAGCAGAGTTTTGCCCTTCCATTAATTTCCAACTCTGGAGAATGAAATGTTCATAGTTTTGTCCATATTTCTTGGTGGTGGTTGGTTATGATTCTCGTCTTATTAAATTTGTCTAGTTTATTCGTGTATGTGTGTGAATTTAGATGGATAGTTCGTCTCCTCCTCCTCTTACGTAGCCTACTTTGTGACCCATTCTCCTGGTGTGGTTGGTTGGTGACGAAGATATCAATGAACTGGATGAGAGTGGGAAAGTTGATTTGATTTGTCAGCACGCAAGAATGTCTTGACGTCTTGGTTCATTTCACCATTGTGCCTTCTTGCCTTAGTTTTAGTTGATTTAGCAAGTTGGGCGAACTTGTTAGATTCCTTCCATCCCGAATGAGTGGACGGATAGAGTGCTCTTCTTCTTCCACTGCAAGGTTACGGTCTCTTCTTATTTTATTAGATGAATTTCCCGGATTTTGATTTTGATTGAAAGTAGAGACCAGAACAGAAGGAGAGACGCAGAGAGAGAGAGCAGGCCAATTCAATTCCAACTCCTCGGTTTAATGTAATCTCGACCTCTCTGCGTAAGTAATACCAAGCAATATCATGAAAGGGAGGAGGGAGGGACGGATGAAATGCTAACCCAGCGTATTATTGATACTCGTGATAGCTAAAATGTCTTCAATATTTAATGTCGTGTGATTGATATATCTTTTACACGGGTGGTTCCACGTGCTGGGAAATCAACATTTTTCCATTTGTTGTGCCTACCCCCTTTTCAATTTATTTATTTATGTACGTATCTACTACGGACGGATGCTGCTCCTGGGTGTCGGAGGTGAGGACGTTTATTACTGCCAGACTAATAAGGTCACTCCGTGTTAGTGAATTCATACCGCGTTCTCCTAATCAAAACAAGTGCTTGGAATGCTAATGAAGTTAAGTGCATCTCTGTCAGAATGTCAGAATGCATGATGAAAACTTTCTCCTTTGATGTCACTCTTTTACCCGGGCACATCATACCACGGTGCTTTTACTGGTTCGTGTTTTAAGTTAAAATTCATTTAGGGTCATTTCAAACATTGCGTCTTTTTGGTCTCTTTTGAAGAAATTGTTGCGAAACAGTGGGTCTTTCATTTTATCAAAATAATGCCATCCTCGATCCTCCTTGCTACTGCAGTTGCAGCACAACACGCCAAAAAATAACCTTGCGATTTCAGCATCACACACATGATGATACGTGACTTGCCTCGAGAGTTTATTGTGTCTTCTTCTTATTCTTCCTCGTTTGTGTACATGCACACCCTTTCCTTCGTCGTGTGTATCATGTCGTGTTGATGTTATTGTGTGGAACGTTAGGCTTTTTAAAGGGTTTTGTGTGTGATGTGACTAAAGAAATATGAATCCTTACTGGAATAAATAACAAGCTTATACTCGGATTTATGCGCGTTGTAGAATTTATGAAAGTACTTTCTCTTCAATCTGTCAGTCTTGCATTAATATTAACACAGCTACTTATTAAAGGCGTGTATGTATGCAATCTTTGCTGGTTGAATGTGTGCCTACTTTCTCTCCCTGGTTCCCTATCCTATTATGGTTTCTTATGTGTACAAGGATCTCTCTTAGGGGCGCCATTTCAGTCGCTTTTGTGTCGTTGTAAAGTTGAATTTAACAAGCGACAAGCCCAATCCTGCTACAATTTCGATGTGTAATGCGTGTGGGTTCGCATATAAATAGTGTGCAGATAGATAGGTTGGATTTAGGTGCTTTAAGCGATAAAACTTGAAAGAGGAACGTTGAAAGTTTATTACGGTTAATTGCCCAGGACAAGCTGGTCGTTTTTGCCCCACAATTTTCTTTCTTCTCTCTCTTTCCGTTTCCTTGATGAGTGGATTTTAGAAAATTTAGAGATAGGTACGTCGTACGTGGTGGATTAGTCTTCTTCTTTTCAGGGAAAGTTTCAGTTTGCTCCATCCATATAAACATGGAGAAGTTTTATACTCTTTATTTTATCATGGTGAACGTTGACCCGTTATATTCTTGCAAAGTTTTTTCTATGTATTTATCTCCGAAAGAGAGGAAGGCTTGTGTTCCTACTTCTGCGGGTTGTTCACGAGATGAAGTCGAACTTTTGTTGTAATGTTATTTTAGTTAGAGAATTTGAATATACGCTTTTTTTCTGCTTCTCACATCACATCTTCCAGGCCCATTTGGTTTCTATCTCTGTAATTCTAATTAGAAATGAAGTAGTTCTGCTGGGAATGTTGGTACTGGTTTTTTTAGGATTGTATTCATTCTGCAGACCAAATTTCACGTGATTTCTGCTGTTGAGGATCCATTATCATAAATGAAAGTCCACAGGTTTTCATTTTTTCTCTGGCATTTATGGTGGATCTGTATTTTATTACAAGGAGAACTTTGTTGCCGTTAATTGATGCAGATTTAATTTTTTTTGGTTAGTTACCTTTCTTCTTTTTCTCCACTTGGAAAGTGTTTTTACAGTTAGCAGAGAGTGAAGGGAACTCACGAGGGAGTTGTTTTTCCAGATTTTCATTGAAACTAGAGAGAGAGAGCTTCAGGATGGAATTCGTTTGCGAGATTTTAATTGGATTACAGTCTTTGCCGAGAGTGGGCTTATTACAATTGGAGAGTGTACCTCCGTATTTTTGATGTTTGTTCTAATTACGCGTCATAGCTGATGAACATTGTCTCTACCTCTCTTCTGACGGGCGGAAATGAGGAACAAATTACTAAAGCTCTGTACGTGACATTATTGTTAGTTGGGGATGTGAAAGCAATAAACGTTAGAAGTTTGTGATTCACGCTCTAATGAAAGATTGATAAGTAAACAATTGATGTCTGACACCTGTCTCGTCACCCGGTTATTAATAGATATTCACGTATTAAATAAACATTTATGAACAAAGTGATTGTGATTTTCGGTGACTGCACAATTTCCCACCTGGATTGACGTATGAGGTAGCGTTGCTGGTCGCTGTGTCATGTCATTCTTTTTCAAGGTTCAAATTTATTGCTCGCGAATTTAAACCGTCGGAAATTGCAATCTTGTGAGGCCCTTTATAGGGACATTTATGATGCCTACTTTTATTTAGCCCGAACGAGTCCTTATGAAACCGTGTCCGCCTATGCATATAAAAGAATGCAGCAAACATTTCTGAATTGACTGTATTTTTTATATGTTACATGCCACGTTAAATTGGACATTCTTGAGCCTTATCTAGCTAAACGGATCTTAGTCGGACACCAATTTTGAAAGTTGATGTGTTTACCTACAGTTAGTTAAAACTTAATTGAGCAGTATAACCCCGGCTCGGGCTTTGTAGGTATTTTTTTACTTCGAGAATGAGTTTTGCTTCATGGTTGGTCTGGTAGTCCGTCATTTTTATGATCTGTCCTGCTCGGTTACTTTGTCATGCTTTGTCGCATAATATTCATTCCTCAACAAGAGCGATATGTTTTATAGCTGCTCCTCTTCCATCGCTACCACCTTGACAGTGGACTATGCTGTTTTGTGTCGAACAATATTTTATTTTTAGCCAGACGAATTATTATTATGTTGCAAAATTTTATGATCGCCATTGTCCCATATTTAATGGAAAAGTTTTGATCATGTAATTTACGGCATCTATATGTCACCTCTTTCTGAAACAAGTTATGGCTGCCAGACACGATGGATAATTGATGACCAATTTCTTCTCTTTTACAACTTTAGAGACAATGACGAGCATGTATCCGTCCGTATGGAATGTAATTTTGTTTCGTCTTATTTTTCCAGGCCGACATTTATCGCCGAGTTTACGACGTTACGAAACACTTGGTGAAGATATTACAGCAATTCGTGAAACAATTGGTCTTATCCGACCGAATTGATGACGAACTCATTGACGTCTGGTCATCCCTGAAGAATTTACCCAATTTAAGCCCAGGTACGTAGTTTTCATACTTTGTTCTATTTTTAATTTGATTACAATATAATGATTTTGTCATCCTGGGAAATTTGCATTTCAAAAGCAAATGTATGTAAATTATTCTAATGTTACAAGAGACAGAGATAGGAAGGGACAGGGAAAGAGTTGCTGCGGGGAAAAGAGACGACGAACCCCAAAAGAAGGGATAAAATCCTTGCACAAGAAGCAACTAAATTTAATTCTGCTCTCTTCTGGGCCAAGTTCGAGGCATGAATAAATCGTTTTTGATATATGATGAAGAAAATACACAGTTTTGTATAGTGCTCATCGTTTGACGTTGGATATTTATCGTGGTAACGGGCCGTTGGCGGCTGGCTGGTATGGCTAAGATTTGTTGAAACTGTGCGTCGAGAAGGACGAAAGGATGAGACGCTTTCTCTTTTTTTAGCAACAGTGAAATTATTGCCGAGGAATGAAAATAGAAAAGAGAGAGATAAAATTAGCCACTTTAATTAATTCAGCAGAGTATTTTAATGGTTGAGAAGGGAAAGTTTTTATTATTGCTGTCTTTGCTCTCCTCTTCGATCCCGGTTGAGAGAGAGACTCATTCATCTCATTGACGGAACGTGCTTAGAGATCTGGATCTTGGAGGAGGGAAAACACGTCGGCTTTTTCTGCATCCCATATTTTTTGCTATAAGTTATCTTAAGATGTCTATTTTTCTTTAACTGACACATTTTTAGAACCCAAAATATTTAAGGGTATTATAAGTATGCATGAGATTTACATTGCTAGAGGATTGACTGCCAAGAAGTAAAAAATAAAATAACACGTTCCTTCATTGCGTTGATCAATCGTAAAAAATTGAAGGGGAAGGAATATTCCTAGTCCTCATTTGCTCTGGGTGGTGGGGTATTAAGCAGTAGAATACATAGAAGAATTTTGCATTCTAACGGCAACCGGTTGGTTGGTTTTTGTGTTGAATGTGTTGTAGAAGAAGGATTGGCTCACGATGTCGATGAAGAAGTGAAGAGGATCCAAACCCGAGCCGACTTTCTCCAGACGGCATACTTAAAATGCAAATCATTCGCAGAGTCAGAGTCTCGTAATCTCTCCATGTCCTCATATGAAAATAAAGGAAATTCTTTCTCCGCTACTACCTTTTCTGCCGAAATGGGATCAGGAATCCAAAAACCGAGGGAACAGGAACAGATCCAGCAGAAGGTCTCAAAGGGATTGAAAATTTTGGGATCGGAATTGGAGCAAATTTACACCCATTTGAAGGCAGGAATTCAAACGGGATCTTTCCAATGGATCGACAGCAAGCTGATTAAGGTTGTTACAATGTCTTACTTAACTCTTGTGTCGTTTCAGGGACTTGTCACGCATACCTACGTACAAGGATGTGCAAGTATATAATGAAATTCAAGTTTATAATAATTAGATAAAAAGTGGAGAAAGTTTTGTACCTTTGAAGTTTTGGCAAGAAAATCAAGTCGGCTATTTTTACACATTATGCATGCTTTAAGAATTAATATGAAAATCAAAAGAGGAAATCCTAATGCAACATTTATTCTGTCCTAAACCTATAACTTTTATAACATGTCCGCAGTCCATGGAGAACGGGGAATGGCTTCTAATTGATGGAGCGAACCGTTGCTCTGCTGCCGTTCTTGATCGTCTCAATTCCCTACTGGAGCCGAATGGGTCTATCTTGCTATCTGAACGAGGCAGCATTGATGGGAATATTTTGGAAATTAAGCCAGATCCCGAATTTCGCCTTATCTTGACTGTGGATCCTGCCTACGGAGAGATATCCAGGTACTTACAGCATGTGTATTTATTTGTGAAGAAAAGACTGACATGGCACATTAAATAATTGGACAAGTTTCGTAATAAATATTTTGTTTTTGATCTTGCGTCCTGTCCAAACAGTACCTAACATAACATGTATTACGAAATATTACTTGGTTGTTTGTACATATACCTTGCGGGTAATCTGTCATTTAAACATGAAGAAACTTTCATGACGAATGCTTTTGTTTTCAGGGCCATGAGAAACCGAGGTGTGGAAATTTATATGGGGGCTGTACATGATGAGACTTTTTCTTCTTCTCATGTTGCAACTTCTTCTCCTCCTCCTGGATGTGAGACAAATGATTCCGAAGGTGAAGCTGCTACTGTTGGAAAGTAAGTAGAGAGAGTTGGTTTAGTTTACTACGGCGGATGCCATGATAAATTGCTTGCACGTTTTCCTTGCCAGCAATGATCCCTTGTAGCCTTCCTTTGAACTTGGCTAGCCTTTCACTCAGAATAAGATTGAGGTGCTCTTTCGGAGCTTGCTTTCCCTTTCCTTTCACCTTTCTTCTGGATAATTTATGATTTCTTGATCTTCTCCAAGCAAATTGTATATCTAACTTGGTTGTTTTGTTGTTGTGAATTCTAGGATTCTGTCCGTCTCCATCTCCAAAAGTCCTATTTCACCGTTTGGGATCACCTTTTTCGATCTGGATAATCTGTTAAGAGCAGAAGGGTTAAAGGATTGTGGGATTCGTAAGGCGTTGATCAATTTACATACGGAGCTGACAGACTCTACAAGTTTGGCTACAGGTACTATGCAAATGCAAAGTAGTGTATAAAGATGATAAAGAAAAGGTGGCTTTCTTTGTTGCTTATCGCCACGTATTAAATAAATTTCCTTTACAAATTCTTTATCTTTTTAGACTCGACGGAATTGTCTGTTTTCCGAATTGTATCAAGCACAAAGGAAATTGTAGTACAACTTCAGCAAGGAATCAGTTTGCCGGAGGCTTGTCAGAGATCATTGAGTAATTGGTATATGTCCGGAAATTTCGACACCTCGGCTGCTTCTGGATTGAAGATGCGGGATGCTTTCAAAACAATGATTCAGACAATAAACTCTAGTTCGTCTTCGTCTTCTACGGTGTCCTTGTGAGTGGATTTAGTTTTTGAAAATATATGAATTGAATCTTTGTAATCAGTTAAGTTGAATCCGTATGGGTTTTAAACGTCTTTTTCTATTTTTGGTAATAGGCTTCCTGTGGCGTTGCAAAACTTTGTTAGCTGTGACCTGTACCGTTCATGGAAACATTTGGAGACTTTGGAATGGGGCTTGGGTCAGCTAAGTTTTATGGTGGACAATCAATGCGGAAGGAAATTCACGAAAGACCTCGTGGAGGATTTCTTGATTTTGTCGGTAGTCTCCCGGGTCATAAGACAACAAGACGTTCGGGTATTATCTATTGCACTAGGATTGCAATATCCGTTGAAAGCGAGTTTTGTGAACAAGTTGGCAACTATTTTGGAGTCTGAAGAGTTTGAAAGTTTCATCGATTGGGAAAAGCATTTTTGGGATATTCAAGAGCAAACGGATATAATTGTAAAGTTTTCTTCTCAAGTAAATGAAATCAGCAAGATTCGTCATTTGTTCAAGACATTGAAAATTTCACTAAGAATGTACCATCAATGCGGAATCTTTCATCAGAGCTCTATTCAAAACCCAAGGAAGGGAAGTTTGGGATTCGTACTTAAAAACCTAAAGTTTTCAGATGCTGGATCGTTATTTGAGTTTCTACAAGCTTTTTGGGCTCTAGGTAAGTATATTTATTACCATATAAATAATAAATGTAACGAAATACTTAGGACAACCTTTAAACTTAAATCTTAGCCCCCAAATAAACATCAATGAAAAAATACTTTTTCATAAGCTCGTTGATGATTCCCAGTGACTTTTTATCAAAGTATTTCGAGCTGGTTTGCTTATTAATATAGTAGGGATGAGAGGATTCGGCATCGTAGTCACCCGGGTTGATGCAGTTCTGCATCTTCAGAGCAGAGGCGAAGAATGCAGCAACGTGGTGATGTGCCTCCCACTTGTACTTATTGCCATCTTTCACTGTTCCAATGGGGATTATTTTGTAGGGAGGGTCATCGCCCATTTGCTGTTTGTAACAAATGACTGGGTCACTTGAGTTGGGGTTGCTGTGAACATTTCTGTTGTTAGCCTGACCCGGATAGAGAATGTAGGGATTGGATACAAAGTACAACACAGCAATTGGCTCTTCCTTTTTTTCCTCCTTCTTATCATCTTCCTCCTCCTCTTTCTTCTCACTCTTCAACATTGACCCGATTGTGTCCCCAGATTGAGCCATATTGAGATATGGAACTGGAGAAAGCATCTTGTTTGCATCTTCTTTCTTGATGGTGTCGTAAACTCGTAGTTCCATTCCCCAAAAATCCATTTCCTCCTTGAATTCTGAATAAGCCCCGTTCGGAAAGTTGATCATCTCATTGATACAAATTATTTTGATGGTGGTGTTGGGCCAGAGAAGCATCTTCAAGAGGGTCACAGTCTGTAATAAACCAATTCGTTCATTATTAGTTAAATTATCACTCTTATGACAGGCTTTAAATTTCAAAAATGAGGTCAAATGTATTTATATTGTAATATTATTTATTACTTGACGAGAAGTATAGATTTTCATGGCATCGTCCTCCTCGTCGAAATATCGCCGTCGTCGAGGTTCTCCCACAATTTCAACTGCTTCCGGTTTAGGCATTCCCTTCAAAATCCGCTCCTCGCAGTAAGTCTTCCAACCACACTCACTTGTCGATCTTGCACCAGAATCACTAATCATCTTTTTTAAATTATTGGTGGTATTCTTCTCCTTTACTTCTTCTTCGTCATCCTCGTGGAAAGTAAAGGATGCAATCACATGGAAAATAACGTCGTGTCGTTTATTTTCACCATCCGTAAACTCCGCAACAACAAATCCAGTGTTCTTCCCCTTGTGGTTATTACATTTTGGAAATTCTTCCATCCTAGTCCCTTGAGTACTGAAACATCCTACCATAATAGAAATAATAATAAAATGCACATGATATAAAGTTATGCAGTTTGTTTGTCAATACACAACATATGCATAACATACCCAGGAATTCACAGATGGGATTGGTATAAACACCATTAACTATAACCATCGCCGAGTACTCTCTGTAGTACTTCTTCCTCTCATCCGGTCCTCGATACGCGACATTATAATTAGTGCCTGGTACTTTCACTCCATCCCACCCCATAGTTTCAAGGTGTTTCACCACCCTCTCCCGCATGTCAATAGTCCACTCATTGTTCTTCATTTGGATTGTTTCGGGGGTGGCTCCAGATAGTGGGGTGAGCATGTCCGACTGACCAGAAACAGCCTCCTCAACTTCCACTTCATCAACTTTCTCCTCCTCCTCCTCCTTTATCTTGAGTTCCTCGTTTAATTTGAAGAAAAAGTCTCTGAACTTGTTGTCGGATTGATCTGCATACAATACATGATTGTAAATATATTGTATAATAATTCATGACATGTTCAACAATAATTGTATGTACCTTTCGGCTGGGTGGACTGTTTCTTTGCAGTCTGTAAAACTTTGGTCATTTTCCACCAAGAGGGAGTCGGCTTATCCTCACGCACCTGAATCTCCTTGCGAGTCCGCACATATTTGGAGTTTGGCCGTTTCGGAGGATCCCTTGTCGTAGGGATTATCTTCCACTTAGGTTTAGTTTGACCTTCCTCTTCTCCGTGACTATCGTCAGCACTATCCTCCACTAAATATCGAAACTTTTTCTCAGTCCCAGCACTTTCACTTTTTTCTCCCTTCTTCTTCTTATCACTACTTTTGCTGCTGGTTGGAGTCTCCTTCCTCTTACTACTACTACTAGAAGTGGGGGTGGCTGACATTTTAAACTTTTTTAATGTGTGAAATACTCGGTGGTATAATATTTATTGTGAAGAGAGGAGATCTGTTTTGTATTATGTAATGGGGTGATGGAGAAAGAAAAATAGCAATCATCACCCGGCCCGGCAACATCCTGTTTAAATAATATTTAATTTCATTTTCCTCCCCTGTCTAGCTTCCCACTATCACCCTACGTATGAAACTTGTCTTTCTTCTTCTACTGCTACTTCTTCTGCTGGAAAACCCTGCTGGGACACCAAATCTCTTACCAGTAGTGGTAGTTTTGATGACGAGAATGCATCCGGCTTTCATCATCACCATTTTGCACAAATGTGGCTGGACGGTCTCAAGGCATCACTCTGGGGAAAGCGACTTGCTGACATTTGCTCTGAGACTTGCTCTGCCGGTCTACCTGATGAAAAACTGATGGCGAACATGAATCTAATCGTCCAATGGATTTCTGAACAAGTTGTCCCAACTCTTGGAAACCTGAAGGCCATGCTTGCTCAACGTGAAATACAAACATTGGTGGATAATTGCTTTCAAACTTTGAGTCATTGCCGAGATGGAGTTTTACTAAGAAGAAACAAGACGTTCAGAGACATGTGTACATCGCGGCACTTGACTGGTTCCTTTAACTCGGAAAGTACAAACATTTTCATGCAGTAAGTTCCACTTTCAAGTTCAACCAAGTGTATCTTATAAAATTCTTAGATCATTTCTTTATAAAATTTTATTATAGAATCCTCAGCGCAGCGTGGTCCTGCGAAGACTACATTTCAAAACAGAATCTACGCAGGTTCTTTGCGTCTGAACAATGCTCACACATGCATCACATTTTACTTGATTTCTCAACGTTTGTTTTAAAAAATCAGACATCACCAAATGGTAATTCCAGTATTACAGTATAATTGCATTTTACATATGTTTATGTACACACATTTATTGTTGTATTATGCCATGAAAAATTAAATATTAACTTCCGATTTGCAGTAAATCTTGAATCTTTGCTGCAAGTCCAACAAGAAATTCAGAAACTCCACAAATCTGCTGACGAAAATATCGACTCGACATTGTTAAATATTCAAGCTTTACAAGAATACCAGCACATACAAAGGCAATCCTGTGATGGCTTATCTTCATTCTCAGCTTTTATCAATCCATTCCTTCTTGCATGTTTGAATGAACATGTGGTTGGAAATTCAATCGTGCCATTTATACAATGGGAAGATATGGAGAGATTTCGTCACCTTTATACCAACTTTCCAGTAGCCAACATTGAGAGCGCTTTATTGCTGCCGGTTTACGCATCCCGAATTTTGGTCGATGAAGAAAAAATGACGTATAGGATATCACCTCTCGAAAGTAATGGCTTATTTCGCAACAATCAAGAAAAGCTCTTGTCAATATTATCAACTGAACTTTTAACCCCTCAAAAACGTAATGCATCCTTTGCCATGAAAAAATTGGTTCGAAATTTCGTAATCGTCTTGAACGGTTGGAAATCTATATTTGCTGACAACTGCTCTTCGTCGATCACCCAGTTTCAAACCTGGATAAATTCTTTGGAAAACTTGACTTATCTTTTACAAGAAGATAGAAATGATAAGAAGATGCAGGCATCAGTTATTGTAAGAATTGGTCTCATCATGGCTGAGTCAGCCTCATATATGATGGACGTGTCTAGTTATCTACCAGCCGTTGATCCCGTGGTTGAAAAAGAAGTCCTTGCTTCATATCTTGAAGATCAGGTTGCTAATAACCTATACTTTTATATATTATAAAAATAACCTAATTGATGACGTTTTGATTGATTGTAGATATCGGTTTACAACGCGTGGATTCAAAGTAAACGCTTACACCAACTAGTCTTAAACGGGAGAGATCTGTTCAACGAAAGTTGTGACTCGACCTTAATTCATCCCTATATAAATCTTGTGGTCGAAAATATTGTCACTGACACGGCAAATATGAATGATGCCAAAGCCGGGCTTGTTCCTCGTCCTAGTCCACCACTTTACACTTCGATTATGCAAGAAATACGGCAGTTTGTTGATAGTTTTGGTTCATATGCCAAAGCGAAAGAGTTCTCAACCATGATAGAACAATTACTCAGTCAACCCCTCTCTCACGACACGATGTCTTCAGTTGTCATCCAGTGCGAAAATTGGTTTTTGTGCCATCGTAATTTTGTCCATAAACTTTCAAAGCAGTTTTTGTACTGGGATATTACGGCACCATTTTTGAGCGCATCAATTCAGGTTAGATATTGTCACTTGCGAATTTTTCATAATATTTTGGGGAGAAATTAATGCTTAGACTTTTTAATACTTTAGGCATGTACCGGATATCAACTGGTTTGTGACAACATTAAGAAATACTGCTCTCCTAATTTGAGAACGTCGTTAGCAAAAATTGTGACCTTCCCACTTCCATTTGATGAGCCAAGGGTATCAATCGGAGGAATTTATGAAGCTAAATTCGCATTTCAAAAAGCTAACAAAAAGTAAATGATCTTTCAGTGTCATTTGTCTAAATCTCCAACTCACGTATTAATTGTTATGTGCTTTATTTCAGTATGTTTCTATCATCTCTCGTTTCATTTGGCAACAAACTGAAAGTACAACAACGTCTCACAAAGGGTGACGTTTGTCAACTTCAAAAATACTGCACCGAAATTTCAGAATGGTGGAGAAATCAAGAAGCTGAGAAGCAACGCAAAAAAGAAGAGGAGGATGCTTTCTTCGTATTCAAGGGGAAGGAGAGAGCAATGGAGAAAACAGACGACGAACAAGAAGAGTATGACCTGACTACCACATTTCCCTCGTTTGAATTGGACTACAAAGACCTACGCGAGGTTCACGCTCTGGAAGATGGATTCCACACCTACAATCCAGCTACAGAGCAAAATCCTATCGAGTGTGGAGAATTGTCGCTTGAAGATGTAGAGTCATTCTTTGAAGTACTCAATTATGCTGCTTCACTAGTCGCAAATAGGTGGTTGTCAAAATCGGCATCAAACTCGACAATCAGTTACATTTCGCCATTCATGCAAAGGTAAAATAATTGTAACAGCTAACAGTTGTAAACTGGTTTACTAGATAATATCGATTTCGGTGTTTTTATCAGATTCGAAATTGGATGTTATGCATTTTCTGATGGAAACTCGGTCAACAATCTTGGATATCAAGATGAAGCAGAATTCATTGTTGGAGCAACGGTGGCAAACCGACAGCTTTGCAGAGATAGTCAGAACTCAAAATGGGATCCAACCACGTATAATTTCTACTATGATCCAAATATTTTGGAAGCTCAGAAATTACAGAGCATATTTTTTGGACTAAATAAGAGGATAAGCGAGTTGTTACTTGAATGGCCAGACCATCCAGCACTTCAGCAGGTTTGCTGAATTTTCAATTAAAATTTCACAGCGGTTAGTAATACGAATAGTAACATTAATTTATGGTTGCAGATTATGAAAATAATTGGTAGAATCGAGTCATTTTCGATTGATAGTCCAATCATGAAATTTTTGACTGGGTTGGAGCTTCTGTTAGGTAACACATTTTTACCTCATATTATGTTGATTTGCTTTTATAATTAATGAAAAACTTAATGTGTTAAATAGCCACTTGCCAAGAATGGGAAGGAGTTGCCTCAAAACGAGTGTCCATTGCAGCTCATCTCGAAGAATTGACAAGTTTGATAATTTCATGGAGAAAAATGGAATTGCGATTCTGGAAAAACTTGCTGGAGCACACACTAAAACGGTATGTGTGCATCAAGTTCAATGAATATATTGATGCGGCTTGTGGTGGTATTATATGAGGAATTAACACATTTAATTTATCCTTTCAGACAAAAGTCAACTGCCAAGACGTGGTGGTTCCACCTATTTTCTGTCGTAATGGAAATCATTGCAAATAAGGATGGGACTATTGAAACCGAGGAAAATTTGCTCCAGTTGCTTCACAAGTTTATGGAATCGGCATCAATTGGAGAATTTGGTACTCGTCTTGAATTGTTGGAAAATCTGCATCGATATCTCGTCCTGCTTGAGACACACAAGATGGTGAAACTTCATAAATCGATTCAACCTTTCATTTGGAACACCATTCGTTACTACACCATGTTCAAGGAACAAGTGGAAATCAAATTGAATTCGCTAAAAGTTCCCATTGAAAAGAAATTAAAGGAATTCATGAAGATTTCTCGTTGGAATGATTCCAACTTTTATGCCCTGCTTGATTCCGTCAAGAAAAGTCAGAAAACTCTTAACAAATTGGTCGTGGAGTATAAAAGGGCTCTACAAATGCCAGTGTCCAGCACTCTTGTTGCAGATATTGAAAATTTAGATGGAAAAAAGTTAAAATACAAGCTCAGCAAAATAGAGCCTGCTCTCTACTCTGTTCCCGAACATATCATTACCGAATTTACACCAACCGAGAAGCAACTTTGCAATTTCAGCAGCAGTCCAGCTGGAAGAAAGCTTTTCAAGAAATATTCCAAGCTCTGTACAAAAGTTAGAAGCATTGTAACCACTGTATTAAATCGAGACGGGTCACTTTGTGAAATGGAACCACAAGAACTTAACGAGTTGACAGATACGATTATCCAAAAAGTTCATGAACTACAAAGTCAATACGTAAGTCTACTTAATTTATTAAACATTATAATTATTTTGTGGTGTGTTTATGCAAACTAATCAATTATATAATTTTAACTGCATTTATTAGATTCCTGACTCTGGTCCTCAACGAAAACGAGCCCTCCACAACGTGCACCACCTGCGTAGAAAACACTTGGGTAAGGTTTATCCTAAATAATGTTTTGTTGGATGGACAGATATACAACTATATGACTCACATACTTTCTTCACTAGTTTGTTCTCATCAAGTTTTATTTTCTAACTAGCTGAACTCTTCAAAACTTTGCAACCCTTGGGGCTATCATTCAAGAAAGGCGTAATCAAAATCCAGAATCTTCCAGTCGATACAAAAGTTCCATTCGACTTTTTAACCGAACCTGTCGATCTCTCTGCTGGATGGGGTCATTTTTCTACCACTACTACCAAGAAATCTACTGCTGATACTCACTTAATCAAAGCGTGGGATAGTTGTGATAATTACTTTCAAAAATCCATTGCCCGGATTTCTGCAATGATGAAAGCCTTTCAAAGTCCCAGTAAAGAACTAGGAATCATGATTGCTGAACGCTGCAAGGGATTTGTTGTAGAATTATTCCAGATGACCTGTGAGCAAAAAATTGCAATCGAAAAGTTTACCTCTGCATTTTGGAACTTGAAAGTTTTGGCTGAATATGACTGTATTCAAAATACAACGATATCAATCGAGGCGTGGAAGAATCAGTTCTATTCTAACATTTGCAATCTAGAACATCAAACTTCACAGTATCGGATTCTGTTTGAATCGATGGTCGATTTTCCTCTTGATAAGCAACAACAACTTATTGCTGCTACTGACGTTGTCCTTTCAACGCTTAATGCAATAAAGAAGGAATTATTCTTGATTTTGGGCCGATACTTGACGATGCCACTAAAAATTTATACCAGAATTAGTACCGATAGCTTGGTTCGACTGGATCAGTTCACTAACGAGATATGCAGCAAATTTTCAGAGATGATGACCCTAATTCCTGATGAATCCATCCTTGCAACAAAGATAAAATGTGGTCATGAACTTTCTGTCGAATGTCAAAAAGATTTGACCACTTTTATGCAAAGTGAAAATCAGGAACCGGATAATTCTTCTGGAAACAGCACTGCGAAATTCAGATCTGCAGCTAAGAAAACATTAGAGACTGTGTTGCTCGCGTTTCAAAATCTGGACAAGTTTGACGAGTCGCCATACTCTACAGAGTCCACTAACGTTCATGACAACATTTCTTCCACTATTGTCAAACTTATGGATGCTCAAAGTGTTTGTGAACATTTTTCGAAAATGCAAGCTGTCATATCCAAGCGACTTTTAAAAGAAGACTGTTCTGGCATGATTGAAATCTATGATGCTTTAAAGCCTTTAGTGAAACAATACGTTTTAACTGCTCAGTTTTACATAAAGTATTTTTTGGAACATCACCGCGAGACTTGCAAACTCCTGTATGTTCTTGCAGGGCTTTTCGGCACACTTGCACAAAAGGTAAGTATATCGTATATAATGGATGATTTTTTAACCATGCAACTTAACTGACGTTTTCTAATTGCAGGGGTTTTGTCTTCCGTCCGACTATAAAGAAGAAGCTGCTGAAGAAGGCGCCGAACTTGATGCAAAATCGGGAATGGGCCTTGGCGAAGGTTAGTTTTATTTTATTAATGCAACATTACATAGTTTGAATATGATCAAACAAGAGAAAGTCATAATCACACAAATATTACAACCGATGACCTTCAAATGAAATTTAAAATATCGTATAATCTTGCAATAACCTAACAATAATTTATTTAATTTTTATCCCGAATAGGAGAGACGACATCAGACGCAAAAGATGTCTCCGATCGGATCGAATCAGAAGATCAGTTGGAGGATACCATGAAGGCTGGAGAGACCGTGGATCCTGCCAATAAAGATTTGGACGATGATGAAAAGGGGCTCGAAATGAACGAAGATTTTGAAGGAAAGCAACAAGATAAGCAGGAAAGGTCCAAAGATAAAGATGAGGATGGAGATGAAGATAGTGACAGTGACAAAGAGGAAGATTTGGACAAGCAAATGGGTGACGTTGATGGAGACGATGAGGACATTCTTGACGATAAGGCAAGTTTTTTGGCTTTTATGTAGCAAAGCGCAAGAGGGATATAATGTTAATTGCTAATTGTTTGAATATCCGTGCAGATGTGGGGTGGATCTAGTGACGAGGAAGATGAAAATGAGGATAACAAAGAAAGCAACGAAGGGAAAGGAGCCTCCCAAAACGAAGAACCGGAATTGGCACCGAAGGACTCTGAAATAGAGAAGTCACAAGAACCCAAACCCAATGATAACAACCAAAAGGAACAAACGAAAGAGTTCAATGAGATGGATGACGAAGGCGAACCAAATGATGACCAGATAGACCCGTATCATGGTCAAAATGGTCCCGAAGAGGAACCTGAACCCATGGATCTCCCAGATGATCTCAAATTAGATGGAGAAGATGACAAGGAGGGACAAGAAGAAGAAACTAATCCTTTCGATTTGGACAAAGATGATAAGGAGGATTTCAACGATGCCGAAATGAAGGATGACGAAACTCCAAAAATTGAAGGCGACGATGAAATATCAGACAAGGGGGAAGATGACGATGATGGTATGGATATTGACAACCCCCAACTTGACCAAACCCAGGAGGATGAGGAAAATAGGAACGTTGACGATCAAGCCAAAAATATTGATGAAATTATTGATGAGCAAAACGATAACCTTGAAGAGGAGAATAAAAACCAAGAACCCGAAGAAGAAATGGATGGCATGGAACAAGACAATGAGCAAAAAACTGAAGACAATGCTGAGCCGTCTGTCCAAGATGATAATAAACAATCAAATAGTAACACTTCCAAAAAAGAATTGGGTGCTCATGAAAAGCAAGAAACTGTTATGAAATCAGTCGACGAAGAACAAAGTGGAGACACTTCAGAAAAATCCAGTGGTCAAGTAAACAGTGAGGATGGTGTCGGACAAGAAGGGCAGTCTGTTAATAAAGAAAATACGGAAACCATGAAGGGTGATGAAAACAAGGATGCTTCTCGAAAACCTGGCGAAACGGATGAAGACCGATCAATTTCTTCCGAGCTTACGAAATCGCGACTAAAAACTGTAAAAGAGAAAAATGAGTCAATGAAGGATGACGATGCAAGTTGTGAAAATGACGACAAGGCAGACAAAACTGCAGATTTATATCAACATATCAAAGAGTCTGAAAAACATGACGCATTGACAATAGACAACGCCACATCTGAGCAAATGAATGAACATCGAAATCAAGAGAAGGATAAAGAATCTGAAGAATTGCCAAAAATGGAACAAGATGAGGACGATGAAAACAAAGATACAAGCGATATTGAAGACATTCGGGATGCAACACTTGACAATAATCCACCCGACTTGATAAAAGGTTTGCCGAAAGAAAAAAAGAAACAGAAGAAGCGAGAAGAGTTGGACCAAGAGGAAGTTGAAGACGTATTGGAAACCCCTGGACAGAGGGTACTAACACATGGAGCACAGCGTCCCTCAGAGTCAACTTATCACACACAACTTAATTTGCTAGGAGACAAGGCGGAATCTTCCCAGTTAGGACTTATTTCCGACATCGTGCCACAAAGCAACAAATCTTTTGAAGAAATCACATTCATGAACGAGTGGCATGAATTGGAAAGAAAAACTATTCCTCTATCTCAAGAATTGTGTGAGCAATTAAGACTGATTTTGGAACCGACACAAGCTTCCAAATTGAAAGGAGATTACAAGACTGGAAAGAGGTTAAATATGCGGAAGGTAATTATTACTTATTCTTCTTTTTTCATTTCTAGAAATTCAAGTACTTAAATGGTTTGTTGTTTAGGTCATCCCGTACATCGCTAGTGGGTTTCGAAAGGATAAAATCTGGCTTCGCAGGACACAGCCATCTAAACGTGAATATCAAATTTTGTTGGCACTAGACGATTCTGCTTCAATGTGTGATAATCAATCCAAACAGGTAATGATCAACTAGTTAATAAGCATGCAACAGACTGAATTAATGTTACCATTTAATTATAAATAATTATGAACTTATTTATAGATGGCATTTTCCGCCGTTGCCGTCGTCGCGAAAGCATTATCCTTGCTAGAAGTTGGCCAGCTTGCTGTTGCCAGTTTTGGAGAAGACGTCCAACTACTCCACCCATTTGATGATCCCTTCACTGACTTTAGTGGTGCTCGTCTCATGCAAAAATTCACATTTGCTCAGCGAAAAACTCGCATTGTTCAACTCATGCAGACAACGACTGCATTGTTCAATCATTCAAAGCAGTCCATGGGAAATTCAACTGCTCCCGTTGAGACTGCCCAGTTACTTTTAATTGTCTCGGATGGCCGAGCCGTTTGCCATGAAGGGAACGAAGTGGTCAAAAATGCCGTGAAGAGAGCCATGGAACATAACGTATTTACAGTTTTCATAATAGTAGATAATCCCGAAAATCAGCATTCCATTATAGATATTCAAAAGCCAATATTCACAGAAGGAAAGCCGGTTCAATTTATTAAATATATGGATGATTTTCCTTTTCCGTTTTATCTTATTTTACGAGATTTATCTGCGCTTCCTTCCGTGCTATCGGATGCATTACGTCAGTGGTTTGAATTAGTGACTTCTAGCAGTCGATAATTTAGTAGGTTAATTTAGAATTTATTCGAATAAACAAAGATTTTACTGAATTTGTAATAACGTTCATAATATTGACAATAAAAAATGTTTCTCTGAATTTTCATGGATTTGTTAAGCTTTTGGAAAAATTTTGTTTTCCCAAACGAATGTCACTTCTCTCTTTCTGTGTTTCAATTCCTGGCAAATACGTTCCAAATCTGTTTGTCGAATTTTGGTCCACCAAGCAATATCTCCAATTCTTTTTAGTTTTTGACATGACCCAAGAATCGTCCTGACACAACCCATAGTTAAATGAACCAAATCGTCAATTTGACACTGATTACTGCATTCCGGATCTTCGAAATCAACTAAAGATTCATCTTCCTGTGGTAGTTGTGCATTGTTGTTATTCTGTAACCTACTGCTTTTAGGTCGTGGGGGATTTTCAGCAGTGTAAAAGTTGGCCTGGATTTCATTAAACGATTCCCACTGGATGCCCGTGTCGCTTTCTTCTTGGTATTTTGCAGGTTGTTCTAAAGCTTTGTAAGTTCCTGGAGCAATCCAAAGCTCTTCGAGGGTTCGGCAGCACATAAATGTCGAGAGCGGCTTGATGATGTATTCGTCAGTGAGACATTCTCGCAGAATTCGGATTCGAACTTCTCTCAAATTAGGGGCAGATTCTAAAATGCTCCTCGTAGTTGATGGGTCTGCAAACATGTCCAAAACAGTAAGTTCGGAAAGAACGCTTGAATTCATTTTCCAAACGTCCGTCACAGTTCCACGGAATACTTGTAATTTTGGACATGCGTCTCCCAAAATGTTGAGGTTGATTGGGAACATGCTGTACATTTCGGCAAGTATGGCGTCGTTAAAGTTGACCATTCCATACACGCGTTTCTCTTCATCGCTGGGAGTAATAAATCCATAGAATTTCGGACTTGCTTTTTCACCTTGATTTTCTTTGTACATGTGCAACATACAATTCTTCCAGGGATGCTGTTCCGCAAACTTGTAGAACGTTCTTGCTCCCTTCAACCCAATGTATGGCTCGAGTGATTTCTCAAATTGGAAGAATCCCTGTTTGCTTGACGATGGAATTTTCACTTGAATTGAGCACTAAAAGTGTGAAACCATCAAGTTACGTATATATGTAGTTAATGCACTTTTATGATGCGTACTCAGTTTTGTACCTTTCTCTTTAGGAAAATGTGATGTCCATAAGCGTAATTCTCATTCCTTGCAAAAACCCTCTTGAAAACAAACGCGCCTGGAAGATGGTGTACCTATGAATGACATGAAGCATGTCTAGATTTGTCGACTCATAAATCAATCAAACATCGGCATACCATTTTTCTCGCCAGTGCAGTGACATTTGTCCAGGAATAATCCAGCATTTCCAGACTGCTCACTAGTGAATTCATATTCTTTAAATTCTTATCTATAAATGATTTCATCAAGTAGGTGGCTGGGTTTTCGGAGATATCTCGAAAGAAGAGATTTTTCAGGCCTGAATCAGTCACAAAATGAGAACCACTAATGTCAAGTTGTCGCAAGACTGGACAGGATTGTCCGATCAGTCGCAACATGTGGTCATCACAGCAGCTAAAATATATACATCGTGCATTTGTTTTTAGGATAATTTAACTTCAATTTATTTACGTATAAATCATAAATATGTACACACCCACGCAGCACAAGGGTCGAAAGCTTCTTCATTTGTAGCAAAATATCCGCCGTCATTTCCATAATGTCCGCAGGACATGCCCAATATTCTTTCCTTCTGGCGTTGAGGTACATCTCCTTAATATTCGGGGCGCATTGTGACATGCCCAGGATTGAGAATAGTTCACAGGCTTCCGGCATGGAGACAATTGTTCCGAGTCGATCTCGAGAAAACCAGTCAAACTCATCTGGTGGGAGGCAGAAGGCAGAAAGTGGAGTGGGTGTGGCAGTGGGACACATTTTATTAGCAACCAGTGGGGGCTCCATTCTTGGGGAAGATGAGACACGCGTAGTATTTTGAGATGATGATCCGTTGCCCGTTTCCATACTTGAATACGAGAATCTGTCCACCCCTCGAAAGTCGAGGACATCCATCCATTCGCATAAAACTAGACGAATCAGCCCGATATTCTTGGTGTCAATATCGGTGGAAATGATGTACTGAATTACATCCGGGGTAAGAGTCATCTTAGTAGCGGACGGATTATTCATCCCACTCATGAGGTATTTTCGTACAGCCATCATCTGCAATGCAGCTTTTGCACAGGTGAATTGATTTATAGGAGTTGTTACTGTGTCACTTATTTTCGATATGGATGAACTCGGTGAATTTTGATCGTCAGTTTTTGCAGATGGGAATGTTTTGATGAAATGTTTCTTAATATCGGACGCAATAATCTGATTCATATTGGTGACAGATTGTTGCAGAAGTTTGGCCAACTTTTCTGTCGCCATTTGGCCAAGTTTCGGGGGATTCTTTTCCAAGCTTCCCATGATTCACTAATCAATTTGAATTTTGGGGTGGAAGGGAATAATAATGTGTTGGCATTTCTCTGTAAATTTTTGCGTCCCACCTTTCACATAAAACATAATTTGAAACAAAGACATTTCCAGGGTACCTTTAAAATGCGATATCAAATTATGTCAGCTTTTCCCGACTCACGAGGAGTGCAAGAATATGTCGAAAATCTTATGGACCAAATTGAGATCTGGGAACGCTTAGAGATTTTCCCTCTGTTCAAGTTGTTTTAGTTTTGTTAATTGAACAAATTGAACCCATTGGACAAATGGTGTACATAAAAACAAATATAATTTTAATGTCAGTAATTGATTTAAATAATATCACATAGAATAATACGAAAATATCGTAAATGTACATAAGCTAGACTATTCGAGAAATGCTTTTCGATTGTTACACGCAGTTCTTCGTCTTCCTTTGATTCTTGGAATTGCATATTCCTTAGGAACTTGGCCTTTAACACTTCCTTCGAAATACTTAAATAGTGGAAACCACCAAACCTCAGATAGTGAATTAGAACTCGATCTCCTCTGTAATAATTGTGCATGGGTACTGTAATTAATTGGCAAAAATTATGCAACAAAATGAATTTACCAACCTGTAACTCGGCATTATTTGAGAATGTGTGATACATCCAAAACAGGCGTGTCGTTGCAAAATAGGCAATCAACACGTCCACCGTGTAATGTCCATGAGACACCAATAAGCAAATCATCCCCACCCACGCAGTAACCCATGAAATCCAATGGAGAGGCGTTAGTCTTTTCGTTTTTGGCATGTCTATAAGTACAAAAAATATTTCCTTATCACAATAATTTGCAAGCACTTGAAGCAATTGATCCTTACATTCGTTGACGAGAAGATATCCCATCATAAGAATAATCGTGTGACCGGAAAAAATATAGTCACCGCAAAGTGTCTTCTTTCCAGTAATGGGTAAACCACCTATCAAAATTAGCCAGTGTTAATTTAATTTAAGGTGTAAGGTCCAGTGTCCGGAAGTAGAGCTTCTTGTTGATTTACTTGTGGATTGCTAATTAGTTTTATCATAAATGGACAGTAAGCAATGACATTGGACTTACCAGCGGCAATAAGCTTAAGGACTTCTTGAGTTATAATTAACACAGTTTGACCAAACGTTGACGTCGTATTAATCTTCGGAGAGCAATAGACATGGTCATTTGCAAGAGGTAGCACAGTGGCGTACATAGTGACGGATCTCATTCCGTAGAGAATGCTCAAAATTATAAAAACTCTCCTACCAAGGATCCATCTAGAGAGTGACGAAACCATTTTTATCCCGAATTTACATGAAAAATTACACATTACAGTTTAATGTAATGTACAAAAATTGCTTATGTACCTGTGACGATGCAACACTATCAAACATATTGAAGATAACAACAAAAGAATGACGAGAATGTCTGCAACATCATTTAGCCACCGATGTTTCGTAATATTGTCCAAACTTATGTCAGGCAGTGGAGGATGTAAATTTCTATCAGGAACTTTCTGATGGGTCAATCTATGTAATACCACAAATTATAAATTTTCAAATGCATAAATAAAGAATTGAAATGCAAGCACTCACACGATTGAGATGGAGTTGCATATGAAACCAAAAGCCATGAGGAAAAATGCTATCACTGCTTTTCTCCTCTCTTTCGGAAATTGTTTAGCTTTACTTGTCGTAAGTGACGAGGAGCCAGAGGAGGTTGACGGGTGTTGTGAAAGTGGTTCTGGAAAAAGCTGAACTCGCGTCTCTGGAAGGTGTCCATTGTAAACTTTCTTCTGAAAATGGGGAGCATTTAGTATTATTTAACTCTGTAATTAATTTTAGTCAGAAATGTTATAATTTTATTACAACTTACCATATCCCCGTCATAAACCCGATTCGCATTTCCGTCCATGTCACCATCAATTTCTTGCCAAAATTTCCCCTTCTCTATTTCGTCTGGATTCTGGTCAAGCAATGGAACTCGGTCATGTCCAGAATATGCTGGCATGTTGTTGCAGACTTATAAATAAGATGGTAAAACGATGTATGTACAGCAGACTAGCCAGCAATAAGACTCCAGCAAGGACAATATAATTGTAAAAAATCAACTCATGCAATCTACAGGCAATCTTTCATTTCGTAACTTTCTTTGCTATTTAGAACCAGACGACGAAAATGCACATGGTGTACAAAAAACTTCACGTGTATGTATATAGTGAGGGACAATCAATACAGAACAATTAAAGAATGCCTGACTAAGGAGTGTTCTTAATTGTGTTGTCTTTCCTTACAGGTCGCTATCTCTTATTTAAATTGTGTCAGAGATAAGGAATGACATGACTTTTGAAGACAAAAATAAACAACCTTCTTTCAATTAATGAGTCGTCTCAACTTTGCTAAAAAAAGTAATGGGGGGTCCTAAATATTTGTTCGTCTCGTCTCATGATCACACTTGACAATTGCCCATGAGGATTTTGCTATACATTATTCTCTTCGAGTGACAAAAAGGTAAACCTGAGGAGAACGCAGGTGTGGTTACATACAACAAGTGCAAAGTCAATTAGGGAAGATAGTGACGATGCTAAAATTCGACATGTGCTGAGATTTATTTATTGAGTGTAAACAAAACGGTTTAACAACTCAGCTCTTTTTTTCTTAATTGTCACTCAGGAAAAGTGAAATGATTCTACTTTTAACCCTTCTCTATAGTGGAAATGGCACCTTTGAGTTATGTCACCTAAAAATAGCACTGCCATTTGTTACGTAATTGCATGCTGCGTGTCCTGTCGTGTCGGCAAAATCCAATATTTCTCCTTTTTAAGGTGTACAGTTTAAGTGTAATGCACAATTTTTTAAAAAGAAACTACAAACTGTTTGCTAAAATAAATGAGGTCTTGTGACAACCCGTCTATCTCAAACAAATTGGTGGTGGTGCTGGTGCTGGTTAAACTAACTAACAATAAAGACGAGACTTTTAACCCAAGGTGGTTATCAGTACTATGTACAACTTCACATATACTACTACTTTTCTGTTCCATTATCCTCTCACCCTCGTTTCCCTTATCATGCACACATTCATAAGGCACCAGACCAGACCAATATTAATAGGTATTGTGTACACACACACACAATTTAAGGTGCAAGGTGAATGGTATAATGTTTGCACAAAATGACATGACGCTGCTATTATTGGTAAGTGAGTAATCAAATATTTTGCATGGCGTCATTTTTTCTGGATTCTTGTTCGTACTAAATAAAATGATAAGCGTTCTGTGTGATAAATGTGATAACGAGATTTGGTATACGTTATCAATATTAAATTGGTCTTGGATGGCAACATCGTTTTTTATATGGGGTGGTAGTAATATATTTGTAATCGAACGACGGCTTGATAATAGGCAGATTGCAATCATGGCACAGTTTATTAAATCGAGTGGGCGTTTGGCAAAGTTCGTCTGGCAAAGTAGATTTGCTCGAGAGCTGTAATGCTGATTTTCGACAAGTGACAACTCATAATGAATCACACATGGATTGTTATGTTTGGCGAATCACAATAATTTACTAGTCGGAAATGTCGTCATTCTCATAATGAAACGTGAAACATGCATCATTCATTCATGGCAATATTAGAGTATGACGAAAATACATGGTAAAACTGTCTCAAAACATTACTGGACTTGTCAGTGTTGCTTGAAATTTTTGTTTATTTTTGCGATGATAAATATCTACTTAAGTTTACAATGATTTTCCATACTCCTAAATTATTAGTGGTGTTAGGCAGGTCGAACTAAGGAGTCCCTCGTAATTCGCCAAAGTATGCTGAAGAAAAAGTAGAACCCAACAGCAGTTACAAAGCACCAAAAGTAGAATAACCTATAAAATTAAGTTTTATTTCAATAAATATATAAATAAATACGTCAATTAAATTAGATTAGCTTCAATTTGAAAAACTTTTCTTACATAATTGAATTTTCGGATTGAATTATTTCTCAAAGTGGAAAAAAATCCGATATTGGCGTCGCGTGGATCCAAATTAGAGTAAAATTATTTTAGTACGCAGAATACGCAGTTTTTGTGCGAATATTTTAAAAGTATGAAACCAATTGAGGAATCAGCAGTTTCTGCAGGAAGAATAATATTGTTATGAGCAAAAGAAGCCTGCCTTGGCTTAATTTCTATATTATTATCCTCCCTGTAAAAGAATTCAAGCAAATCCTCGCCACTTTTTGGTTATGCAAGTAAAAAGTAGGGCCATATAAAACCAGTTTCTTTCAAAGTATGCTCTTCATAATAAAGAATGGTTTTGTTTCTTGGTGGACATTCGTAGCAAGCATTTACTTAGCTTTAGCACTATTTTGCTACATAGCTAAGGCACATACTCAAATTTATCATGGGGAGAAACGGTTTACTGCCAAAAAAAGTATTTTTTTTATTGTGCATCCAATCAGAGAATGGTTTCATTAAAGAAAGAACTCAACGGTCTGCTTATACACACTGCATACTTTGCCCAATATAAATATCTTGCCATCGGCACCAATTCTTTAAATGCATATTTAATCATCATCATTTGTACCAGTTACCGATACACATCAACATTTAATTTTAATGGAAATATATAACTCAAGTAGATGGAATTTTCATGAAGCACTGCATTTTCTCGAGAAGTTTTCATTCGATTTTTGTTTCTGTCTTGCCATCCTTAGTGATCAATTGGACCAAGCTTCCACTCGGCGGAGAACTTTCAGGGGATGATGTCCAGTTGTACAGGATGCTGGATTAACATAAATATTCGTTACATGTATTCATTACTTAGCTTTACATTAGCAAATTCTTAGGTTTTAACAAACCTGGCAACATCGTCTAGAGGTGTCCAACTCCCATCCGGTGTCATAAATTTTCGATTCATCGGAGTGTCAAGAGTGACGGGAAGAATGGCCAGAGATTTTGCCCCCTCAGGAAGACCACCTTTTTCAGCCCCTGCCGATTTTGTTAAATGGTGGACAGCAGCCTATACATTACATTATAAACCGTAATGCACGCATACTTATGTATATAAAATAAATATATAAAACTACCTTTGCCACACCATAGCCAATCATTCCGGGGGTAGATGATAGGGCTGGTTGAGCCCCAGTAAGAACCAATAGACCATTTTCTCTTAGAAAATGTGGGGCCAAACTGGCAGCAATATAAGACGACCTATAATAAAATATAAGATATAAGATAATAATAATATAAGATATAATAATATAATAATATAATATAATAATAATTGTCGAGCCGAGCCGAATAAGAGCGGAAGATGTAAATGATCAGAGCGCTTTTACATCCAATGCAACATTTCATTCTTCATCAAATACATATCTCTCTTAATATTTATAAATATTAATTAAAATGGAATTCCCAGATAACGAGTGTGTTCGACGGTTTGAGGGGATGAGTATCCCCAAACTGGCAGCTACTTTACAAGCTGGACAAATTATTTTGAACAAAAGATTGTCACAGGGAACATTTATTCCGAAACAAGTTGGTAGTGAAAGTGGTGAAAGTTTGAGTGAGAGAGATAGTAGTGTTAGTGAAATGGATCTAAGTGTTAATGAATCTGGAGACAATAGTGAAGGAGGTGGTGGGGGCCAAGTCGCAAGAAATTGAAAGTGGGTGAGGTCGATTTGGACACATTAAAGTGGGTGATGACACAACCTTGTAATCGAATGAGTGATTCAGTTCCACCCCTCCCACTGTGTGGAAAATGTCCAAAAGTTTACACCGGAACAACCATTATGAATAAGTATGTCCTGTGAGTCATGATTGGGTTTTAGTTAATTATGTTGCATTTTATTATTAGATGTCCGTTATCTGAGCCAATTCATCTCGAACCGACCCCTGCATATACTTGTGCCAACAACAAGAATCTCGTTTACGGTTTTTGGTGCTCTCACCCTGAATGCACACGTACTGATGGTGGTCCTTCACTTATAAAAGTAGGACAAACTGGGGGAGGAAAGAGTTTTGACCGCGTTGGACAACAATTAGACCAAGTTGAAAAATGTAATACCATTGAGGATTTAACCTACAAAGAAGTTGCTACACATTTTTATGAACATCGGATTACTGACAACAAATCGAGTGACTCTTATTATCAATTTTGCCATTTTTCAATTCTGCAGCAACTTGATCCTAATCAGGGTGGGTTGAAAATATATCTAATATGTACATATTTATAAGTAATGAGTATTATGTTATTTACACAGGGGAGAAAGACAGATTAGCCATTGAACGAGCTCTAATTCTGAGATTTCATACTAATCATCCTGACTTTGGCGTAAATGGCAGCGTACCCAATCCTGATTCTCACAAATCATCTTCAAATTCTTCTACTGTTGCTTACGGACCTCCCGCACCAAGAGGACCTCGACTAGAACCGTAAGATTAATGAAACACAGTATTTAGTCGTTGTTGCTGACATAGTCCTTGTCAAATCTTAGACAACGACCTGTTCTCTTAAAACTCTTGGCTGCTATTGCAATAAAACAGAACCACGACCTATACCAGGCTACAACAAAGAAAATAACAGAATTTATACAAAAAAATTTCGACAAGTACAATTTGTCAGCCGCAACCATGCGCCATACTATGAAATCAAATGCAGATCAAGACTTTAGTACGCATAAGACTGCAAAAGAAGAAAGAAACGACTGGTTTTACACTTCAAAAAGAGGAAACCCAAAAGGTGGTCCTGGTGGATCTTACACGTATGGATTCAGTTTACCAAGATGGCCTCAAACAAATGCCAAAATAATAGAACTACTAAATGATGAGGAAACTATCAACAATCTCAGAACGATTGCATCAGAAGGAATTAATTTACATGATATATTAGATTTAGCACGTTTATAATATTCCTTTCAACGAGCACGGTTACTTACCAAACGCTTTGTTGCATCATGAGATTTGCATTTTTAATGAAATCCTTTGATTTCAAGCTGCCGCCTGCATATTAATATAAATGTAAATATTCATCAAAATCTAATTTTTCTTAAATTATACATTCACCTACCAGCCCAACCTCCAGCAACGCATACAATAGCGTCCACTTTCAAACCAGATTTTCCTTCTAATGCTTGTTTTACAGCGTTGGCCTGAAGATTGTTAAACTTTATGAAAATTCTGTAACTGTAAATGAGAAATAATCGTATAGGATTTATTGTCTTACCTGATCTTCAAATCCAAGATCACTTTTAAGAAGGATGTTGTCATCAGCTGTGTCATTCTCGAAGAAATCAATGCTTGTCGTAGCAAATCCTTTCTCTTTGAAAAACTTGACCAAGGTGGATCCAAGTGCTCCTTTTCCGCCGTAAATCAGAACCGCTTTGGACGCCATAGCAGATTAAGGGAGGATTCTGAAATTATATATTGAATTATAAATACATATGTTGATTTTCAAATGAGTTTTATGAATAATTGTCGTATATAAAAATAAAATGACTTTACATTGATCTGGGTTCTGCTAACTAGATGAAATATTTTAATTTAATTCAATGTCAACTGCTGCTGCTGGATTATCTGCACTTTAAGTCTGGTTAAATAATCTATTTTGATTTACTTAACTGAACATTTGACAGAGGTAGCCTTGAAAAGAATTAAGTTTTTAAGACTCAACCATCACAGTCGTTAATAACAGATACTAAACCGATTCTACTATATATTCAATATATCATATCATCATGAGATCTCTTTCGACTTATTCTATACAGAAAATAAACCGGTTGTGTTTGGTGACGAAATGATGGGGATGACGAGATCCGTGGAATAAACTGATCTATGAAATGCAAACAAAATCTGTAAAATCTTTTTTTGCAAAAAATGAAGCCCAAGAAATTCATAAAGGCATTTGATATGCATTTGAAATGCATTTGAAAGTGAAATTCATATGCACGAAAATAATATTCAATTTGCCTGCATTTTCATTGTATTGCGTTTTGAGGCTAGAAAATTTTAGAAAATTAGATTATCATCACTAAATTATCTAAGCTCTGAAAGTCTGACTGTGATAAACGTATGTAGAACAATTAAATGTTTCATTGTTCAAGCAATAAAATCGTTGAATGTTTACGACTTTTATGTTTGTAAAACAATGCACTTCGTCAATTTATTTTGTTGCTATTCGAACATTGCAGAATTGTTTAGTTATAACAAAGCGTCTGGAATATTCTTGCCCCTATTTTCGGAGAGGACCGTACCATTTCCTCATTACTTTTTTAGAGACCACAATATGTTCAAGTTACTGCTTCTTGTAGGGGTCGTCTCGGCCTTTGTCGATGGTATGAAACGATTCACACTCAAGTTTATGACAAGTCTGGTAAATACAATTACTTAAAAAACGACAAAAATAATATCTCATTTTTAGATGACCAGGTCGACAAGGTGTACTCTCTTCATACCCGATTCACCCCTGGATCCCTTAACCTGACTACAGGGGAACTAAAATTATTTTCAGGTACTTTATGTAATAAGCAATTTACCAATTTTTGCACCAGTCTAATCGGCCCCCAAACATAAACAGGTCACGCAATGAACATCATCCAGTCCAAATGCCCAAATGTGGATGCCAAGAAAATCTTTCAAGTTCAAAAATATATGGGCAAACTCCTCGCCAAGAATGAACCAGTTCCTGGAACGTCGAAGGAGTTCAAATTGCTGTTGGAATCGATGACCGTCTGTGCCAAGGAGGGTGTCATCGCGAAACCTGCTGAGCCAGAATTTGACCCATCTGACATGCATTTCTCCCCGTTCCCATTCTTCCCCCCATTTCACAGGGTCAGGAAGGTATTTGTGCAGAGAATTCCAGGAGAAGGCACACCACCTGCTGGCGTGGACTCTGGATTGCTAGTAATTTCCTTATTTTTGTCGCAATACAAAATATGTATTGAAATCTCATCCTTATGTCGATAGAGACATTCCACTGAAACTCCGATCACAAAAACCGGGCCGCTTCCAGGACCAACCCCACCACCACCACGCATGATTACGACCACCATATTTGTTCGTCCTCAAGACATGAAAGAGGGGATTAAATCAAGTGGAGGATTCTTCAACTGGATTCACAACCTTTTCGCTCGAGTTAAAGGATTTTTCAAAAACCCATTCGGACGTCGGGCGAAACGTGGGCTTCCCGACAGCCTCCCACCACCACTTATAGCTGAGGAAATCATGGCGTCATTAAACCTTCCACAAGCTAAGGAAGGAGAGTCAAATGGAAAACAATCATTTGGAGCATTAATTGATCAAATGTGTCGAATTTATTGTGATTCTTGTACAGTCAAGAAAGAAATTCGATACTTCAAGATGGCCGCTAAGCAATTGCTGGCAGATCTCTTTGAGGAAGATTCTGGTCTCGAAGCAGCCGCAAAGCAGTATCTGGATGACGACTTCCTTGATTCCATTAAAAAATGCGAGTAACGTTTCCATTATTTTAATACGAATGGATTTTATTATTCTTGAGTACCAAAACTTATTATTATTAATTGTTCGATGGCCAGTTATATTTGAAACAATGAGTAATAAAGATTTCCATCAATTCTTCATCCAGTTCTTTATGCAAGTAAGCGTTTCAATTCTTGCTTGTTGAAGGTCGGGGGTATCGTATGGTTGGTCGGGTTGTATGTCGTTGCAATGAGATGCGCCTTTATGAAATTGAAATAATTAGTTATAAACCTTGCTGTATAAATAAAACCTACAGTGTGCAGTGTTTATATAGCCCGAGTCAGGGACAGAGTCCCTGACTCGGGCAGAGTCCCGGACAGAGTCTAAATTTTTGTCAAATGACCCGTACCAACTACAATTAGCAATTGCGAACTGCAGTTTGATATTTTTGATGTTTAAATGTCAAAAATGTTCCCATTATCCAGCATGCAAAATTTCAGCTTGGCCAATTTCAAAAATCAGTATGGGTCACCCTACTGGGTCCTCCTTGCAAAAAGAATCTTAAAATCTATTAAGCTGCTCTAACCCTGCAGGATTATGCCAACTTTTAGTCTTCTACGATTGTTTTCCAAACCAGTGGGGCTGACCCTACTGGGTCATTTTGTTCGTTACGACATTGCACTTTCACTTTAGTACTCAAATATATCCCGATTACCAGCTACCAACTTTTAAAATAGAAACTTTTAGAAAGCGGTGTGGGTCACCCTTTGGGGTTGCTTTTGTTTCACTTTTACTCGGTTTTAACTTCATAAACTTTCATAAGAAGCTATTAAGTATCATCGTACCGAATTTCATCTTTTGAAGACAATTTCTAAAATCGGTATGGACCACCCCTAGGGTCCCTCCACTTAAAATTTTACCAATTTCACTTCATATTCTTCCATTGGGGGCTATTAGCACCTTTTCTACTAAATTTCAGCTGGATTGGATGATTTTCAAAAATCGGTATGGGTCACCCCCTCGGGACCCTCCAGACGCAAATTTTTCTAATTTCAATTCATATTCTTCAATTAGACACCATTAGCAACCTCAATGCCAAATTTCAGCTTCCTACAACAATTTTGAAATTTTGGGCCATAATAATACCCTACCCACCTAGATGACCCCCACCGGTCAACCGCTTGACCGATTTGGCTCATATTCGAACTTAACTCCTCATTTACCTCATACTACATGTGTACCAAATTTCAAGTCGATAGGATGACTTTAACGAGAGTTATCGTAAGACGGACAGACGGACGGACGGACAGACGGACGGACGGACATGATGGTTCCATAAGCCCTGACTCGGGCTAAAAATGTTCCGATTATTTTCTAATGACCTTTAATGAGAATGACGCAATTCCCATTGGGCGAACTTGTCGTTGTGCTTATCTGATGGATTTGTTGGAGACTAAGGACTCCCAATTTACTCCATGGGTCATTTACACCATTCGTGTAAATTACACGATAGCGTGGAACTTTGAATTCTCCGTATATCAGATTATGTCCCCGTACAGCATTTTGAATATATTTTTCTGTGAACCTAGCCATATATTTTTCAGAATTTCAAGTTACTGTATTCTGGCCATTCTACTAATTTGTTAAATAAATTTTGCCTTACTTTTTCCCAAAAGCGCATTGACATTGGTTCACATAAAGTTGAGTGGTAACTCCTACAAAGGGTTGTTTGTTTGAATTGGTGGTTTGAAATGCTCCCAATTCATTGCAAACTTGCCAGTTCCACACTCTAGCTCCATATTTTACAGCATCATCTTCCCAACTCGTTTGGCTTATAAAGTTGCAGAAATCGTCGTTCGAAACTTCGATACATTCCTCGTCCATATTTTTGTTCATCAAATTTATTAGGTTTGCAAGGATTTGAAAATTGGATTGTGACCTATTTGACCTAGCGTTCGTGGCATATTCACAAATCTCTCTAACTGAAAGTTGTGCAGAATGGTCAACATTGTATTGCACGTAGTATGAGAAAACTGATGATATGGAAGCATAAAAGTTGCTGACATCCCTTGTGTTTTTAGCATAAAGATCTTCACATAACCTGTGTTGACGATTAAATAAAATTTAATAATGGATATGAAAAACATTAAAGTGCAGAATAGTGCAGATAGCAAAATTTCATACGTTAAAGGACTTAGAAAGTCGTTGACAGGTTTACTTTCATTCTTGGCCGATGAAATTATGTTTTCCATTTCTTCCATCCCAGATTTTACAATATCGTAACAACTTCCGTACTGTTTCAGCACAGTCCCAACGACTTCCATGTACTCTGAAAATTCAAGTAGTTAAAAGTGAGCTTCATACAAATTATTTAATCACGCTATGTATGTAGTTGACCGTGTTTAAAGATATGCATCTACCTTTAAAATCGTATTTCCATTGAATTGGACCCGAACTGGCTAAGGAAATGTGCGAGAAGTTTGGAAACTTTTGTCTAAAGTATGCCGCAAGAGTTCCAGCATAAGAGCCACCAAATAGAATTACCTTCCCGATTTAAATATGCATGTAATTACATGAATATGTAGTTTATTTTATAAATTTTATGAATAATAAATTAGTGAAGCTCACCTCATGGATTTCATTAGATTTCACATATTTAATGAATTTCGCTAAATCTTCGAGAGCTTGGCCTACCGTCAAATACTTCAAGCTTTCTACCGTTGCGTCTCTAAAATTTGTTTAAGGACATTGTTGAGTTAATAAATTTTCATGAGTATTTAGGTTGTATGTGAATGATTAACTCTTTACGGTGTTGGTGTTGATTCTCCATAAAATCGATGTTCAAGCATGTAAATTACTCCATTCAATTGCTGACAATAGTTGACCATTTGTCCAAATACGATCCACCTCGGATCCATAGGACTTTCACCGCCTATGACGATGCAAGCTGGTCCGCCAGCTCGGAAGAAAGTATTATTTGTTGCAAATTTCTTTAATTTAAAGCAAAATATATAATAGATTATATATAAAATATATTTTTTGTAATATTCCACTGTAACTTCAAATGTACCTGATTCCACGTTCGATTATCGTGTTTATTAAAATGATCAAGCGGCTGAGAAATCCACCCAATTTCAATTCTCTCGTCATTAATCCCCTTTGGAAGCGTAGAAGTTTCATTTACAGGACCGAAATATTTTCCATGAATTAATCGACCACGTGTAATACCTATTCCTTCTATGATGCTTATTGACACTGTAATAAGAAATATTGTAGCAATTTTATGCATGTTTAAAGAGAGGCTTTCCTTTTTTTAACCAAATCAAGAGCTGTATCGGGATGCAATATAATTCGGTCAGTTTGAAAGGGTTCATCACATCGAAAGAACCTTTTTACGATGATTTATTTATACATTTTTTTCCTGAAATGTGGTCGTAATATGTATAGAAGGACATGCATGCATATATCTAGGTACGTACATACTTAATTTTGATATGGCCAGTTGTCAATGTTGGTTTGTTGTGGTGTCTCAAAATAAAATGCTTGAACAAAGTAAATGCAACAGTAAATATGAAAATGTTTGTGAAAATTTATTTTTCAGGCGAGGCTATTATTTTATTTTATTGTAATATGAATTTATATTTCATGTAAGTTAAAATATAAGATATATGCGAAATTATTCTACTAAATCTTCTATCATTCCTGAAGCCATCCCGTGAGAAGTTTCAAAATTTCACTACGGGCAGCACGTAATTGGGGCAAGTCGTTTGAAGAATCAGGATACCTGTAAAGGATAAGCTTTTTTATCAAGTTTTCCATTGTCAAGTTAGTATTGAGATACTTCATTATTTAAAAATCTTACATGTTAGCACAGTGCGCAGTTCCTGGAATTACAATAAATCTTAAGTTTTGGTTTGAAACCTATGTATGTACATAAGCCTGAATAACTTATCGTTACCTTCTATGAAAATCACCACGTTATCTGAAGATGTCTCATTTTGCGATGTGATGCCAAGTTTGTGCCATGGGTCAATTGAACCATTCACAAAAATCACTTTCGACACTTTCAACTTTTTTCCTCCATAATTCGCATTGGTCCACCTAATTGCGGATGAGATGAAATTTTCGTCAAATCTGTAAATGCATGCAAAATTTATGTACAAGTACGCAAATCATAATAATTTTCTCCAAAACGAAATGAGTGTTAAATAGGTTTTACTGAATTCCGTAAACGTCTTGACATTGTCTAGTGGAAAATTTGACGGGAAATTCAGTCCCGAAAGGTTGTCCATCTAGATCGGAACTTTGATAAAATCCGAATTCTGTGCATGTTTGATAAGTCCACTGTCTTTCCCCTGAAGCGGATGGCGAGTCCCATTTTTCTTTCTGCATATCATCCACAGTTTTGCTGTACTTAAAGTCAGTACAATTCTTATCAAACACGGACAACATTAAATCATTGACATCCGCGTAACGCTCGAAAGCCGTCTTTTCCTCGAGATTTGTAGTCATGATATTGCATAAAGTGTCGATTGTGATGTTGGCCGTTTTTGAGCCTTCAAACCCACGATTGTCTTCATTGTATTGCACAATGTCCATAAAATTTCCTGCAACTGTCTCGAAAAATGAAGCAATATCCTTAGCATTTGTTCCATCAAAGTCGTCACATAATCTGAAAAACACTTAATGTAAATTAATCATTTAAACCAATCTACAATTTTAAAATCTTATTACTTGAAACTTTTCTTGATCATCCACCACCCAGTTCGTCGCTTCAATAAACCTTCCATGCTTTTCACAGCTTTCGAGATTTCGCCAACACATTTCGGACTTTTCTGATTTAAAGAGTCGACCACAACTCCAAGATATTCTAGTGCGTAAACGTTACTTATTTCTTGAAATGATACGAGAATACCATGTATGACAAAATTACCTTTGAAATCCAATTGTGCAATTAATGGAGCTGATGTCGATACAGCCACATCAACCAAATGAGGATACTTCATTCTATACCAGGCTGCCAAACTACCAGGATAACTGCCACCAAAGGCAACCCATTTATTCGTCTACATACATAATATAAAAAAAGTGCATCATATACTGCTCAATGGGTTTGAGAACTAATTCAAAAGTAATGCATAATAACTTACAGTAAAATTATATTGTTCCTTCATTGCAACTGTGAACGTGGCCAAATCTGCCAAGGCTTGTTCGCTGCTTAAGAACCTGAGATTTTTTACTGAAAGGTCGCTGCAAAAACATGTATTTTGAAATCGTTTTGAATACTTATTAATTTGTACATGTAAAATTGTATTACTCTGTTGGTTTAGACTTTCCATAAAAACGATGCTCAACTTGAAAACATAGTGCATTCAAATGTTTCGCATAATTAATCCAGGCCCCCGCGGTCATCCATTTCTGAGTGGCTTCCCCTTCTCCTCCAATCATTAAGAAAATTGGCCCTCCAGGCTTGTAAAATGCATCGTTGACATAATATCTCTGAAATTCAATGGCATTTTTAGCGTGATCATTTTAATTTGAATGTACATTAAAACCAACCTGCAACCAAGTTCTCGTATCCGAGGGGGAAAAATGGTCCAAAGTTTGATTAAACCATTTGATCGTGACATCGTCCCCAAAACTATCGGTTATAAAGTCTTTTGAATTATTTTTAACATGATAAAACACTTTCCCGTTCATAAATCTCTCTGAGATAATTTCTTCGCATTGTGAAAATTGCGCAAATACGCCCACATTTAGAACGACGAGTAGTAGGTTTCTTAACTTCATTTCAGACCGTGTATAGTGAATGCACACAATTCAACTGATTAAATTTGCAAGAACTGCGAAGTCGCAGAAAATAAGAAAATTAATGAATGCTGACTAATTGTAAGTTACAGATGTAAAATGACTCCACCAAATAAGAATTTATAATAATGGTCAAAATTCCAGCAGGGATTTTATTTATGTAAATGAACAATGAACCATGGATCCGGATGGGCTGACTATTATGCCCACAGCCTGCGTCTTTCTATCTGAAACCAGACTATTTACTATACTTATGTTTAAGAAGATTACTCTTAACTTAAGTATGCATGCATGTTGTTGAAGTCATAAAGGAAAGATGATCCCATATCAAAAGTCATGCATGATGATGATAAAGAAATCTGCCTCATGATCTGTAACAAACGACCCCCGTCAAGTACATTTGTATGATTTCTATCAGCATTAAAGGAAAACATATATTATTATTTAGGATTAGTGGACCAAGTTTATTAGATAGACAAATATGTAATTCATTTCGTTTTCATCCCTTATAAAACATGGTCGTCAAAAATGTTCCAAATTATAAATATATCTATGCAGATACAAGAGTGAAGTTGAACATAGTATAATATTGTTGTGTCAATCAAATTATGTCATAAGTTTACTAAAATCATGGGATACAGACTATTTAACATATGAAACTATCAAATTCTTGGAGAACAACTATTGTGTGAAACCGGTAATTGATGAATAATCTTTTCGATATAAACAGCACCTAAACGTTGAGCACAAAATGATCACTCAACATACAGTAAGAAAACGGGATTGGCTAATAGAAACATGCTCGGTGAGTATAAGTTTAAAAAATGCTCGTAGCTGTTGCATTGCATAAATGTATATAATAATCCGAAGTTGTTCTGGGTAGATGATTTTGCGCTGGATTAATTGGTATTGGTTTCGCTCAAAGGTACAATGCTTCCACTTGACGATCTTCCAGCCCCATGATGGTCATGATGACGACTTCCATGACTTCCACGCTTGTTCCATCTCTTATCTTGATCTTGTTCAGATGTAAAATCTGTAAGATTGGATTCAGTCATGTCGTCAGTTGCCATTTGATCATTATTTCCGACAGAATTTTGAACTTCAATCGATTTTGGTGGTGCTATACTCGGGGCAACATTTTCGTTTTTTAATGTCCCTTCGGTGCTTGTGCTAGGAGCAGCAGTGGTCGCAGTTGTATCTTGAGGTTGTGGTGGATTATGATGGTGATGTTGTTGATGCTGTTGATGTTTTGGTTGATTTTTAATGGATTTTGGTTTGGGACCATGTGTCACAGTAGATGAGACCATTGGGATCAACTTGGTGATGTTACCTACCACGATTGCTTAACATTTAGTATCTAGGTAACTCTTGTGTCTTTTAATAGATTGATAGTGTCAAATAATCTTGGTTACCTACTGCTTTTGTCCTTCCTTCTCGAAATACCTGAAAATATTTAGTTAAAAATTAATTAGATCTTGAAGCAAGTCGATATCAATTTTTCAATTCGTTCGTATCATTCGTTTTCTTACCAAACGCTGGTTAACTTTAATATATTCTGGCTGCTTCATGAAACGAAAGTGAACGGAAGCCCTAAAATAACATAAAAATGTGGAAGTGCATTGTGAAGTCTTTAGCCTGAAAAATTATATACTTAAATCACTCACCGATCACCGGTTCGTAAACAATCAGTTGACATTGACACAATTGATGCCGTCTGTCTAATGCTTCCACAATGTACTAAAAATACAGTCAAAATTATAGCACCTTTATAAGATGCGGTTACAACATTACATGTCTTACCCATTGCTTGATATCGGGCGCTTATTGTAGTTGGATGATGTAGCACAAGAATTTCACCTTCAAATTCCCAGCAAGCGACAGGATTGAGAGATGGTGAAACTAACACCATACCTTTGCGAATCTGTGATCGTTTGATCTATAACAAATATGTGCATTTAATTTAATGTAATTTTAGGGCAACAAAGAATATGCTACGTACCTTTTTCAATGAAAAAGATGCCGTTTGCCCACCTGTGATGCACAAGTGATATAAAATTAGCAAAATCCTAGAGACAATTTCAGAATCTAATGCACTCACCTCGAACTTGGGCTACAGGCATTCGTTTCCGATGTATAGATTTTATAGCGATTGGTTGGAAATGACCTAACGAATCAGGCCCTAGCATCATCATGTCATTCAGATTGATTGTGCCCCTAATATTCAATACATAATTATCACTCACGGGATATATTATACAGTAATTATTAAGCCAACTGAAATTATTTCTATCATACTGATCGTGCGCATACCGTAATGTAGTACCACTGACGACAGTGCCGACGCCAGGAACAGAGTAAGTGTCATCCACCTATTTGAAAAATTCCGATTGTTCATATGCATTTGTATGCATGTACATATTCTTCATATTAAGACAGACCTGGAATTCTGCGGGGTCTTTATCCTGACCAGAACTCCTAGTGCTTAGCAGATTAAGAAACATTTTTAGCAATGGCAAGTTCTCTCCACTAACATTTGAGACTTGAAATACAGGGCATAGCCTAAAAATCAAGATTAAATCTTTAAACAAATCCATAAAAACTTCGTAATCTGGTTTTGTTACCTCTCAGACACAAACGATGTTGCCGATAACACAACATCATCAGGGGATTTGACAATCACAGGTACTTTTCGGCACCCAGGACTTTTCAGGATTTTTATCAGCAATTGTAAAGTCTCTTGAAGAACATTGGCCGGACACATGTCAATTTTTGTAACCTGTCATGAAACACGTTTTAGAGATTTACGGGAACAGTTTGAATTTGAGGAATAAGAGCAATTTCTCACCACAACAAAAACGGGGACGCTGAGGGCAAGGGCTAAACCTAAATGCTCCTTGGTCATGCCAACTATTCCGGCATTGGATCCAATCTATTTAATCGCAATTCACAAGCATCTTAGCCATTTCATTTTAATTTTTTTAAGATTGTTTGGGACCACACCATCAACATTCCGAAATGAGGAGCATGACCAGTCATTCCGAATACAGTAGTTTTCAAATATTTTTCATGTCCAGCCAAGTCAATAAACGTGATGACTTTTGATGATTTTTCACAAATATGCATCCAGTCTAACGTTCCATGTTCGGCCTTATTAACAACATTTCCTGAAAGATGGAGTACAATCAGATGTCAAATTTTAAACAATCAGGTAATGCATACCTTGGTGATCAAAACCTAGTATGTCATTTCCAACAGATGATGTCCTAAAATGCATATTAGATTAGGTTGCATTACATGCGTGTTCTTGTATAGTTAATTTACCTTCCAGACTCCATTTCATGTTTGTGTCTGAATAATTTCTGACGAGCTAGAACACAACAGAAATCTTGCATCTTTTGAAATTTATATTTATTACACTAAACCACTTAACTAACCTAGCCCTCGCCCATTGTCAAGTTCACCATGAGTTAAAACTCCCAACAGCGTGCTTTTCCCAGCATCCACATTTCCAACTACTGCGACACGTATTTCGGTAAAATCTTTTTCTGGAGCTCTTCGTCGAATCTATACATTTCATGCATTTATAAGAAATCCCATGAAAATACTTGAGAACAAAGGAAGTAATATAACAGCATACCAAGTACTGTGCCGTAAATAACGTGCCAACTGTTCGTTCTCGCAATAAAATGCAAGTCGCATCTAACGTTTCGGAAATAGATTTTAAAGTTGCAACAGAAGCATCAAAGTCCTCTTTTGATAAACCATTACCTGGAAAACAAAGTTCCCATTCATTATTTGTGATCTGACAGCAGCATTATTATTTAATTATTAAATTACTATCATTGTCTTGAATATTAAAAATCGTTTCGCCGTTCCCTTCCTCAATCCTGTGTTTTAAAGAGGCTCCTAATTCGTCAAACTCTTTTTCAGTCGGGCTGACAAGAAGGTTCTGCAAAGAGGAGTTTATTATCACATTTCAATTTTCACCAAATTAACCCACAATTAAACTTACCTTCCCACTTCCTCCACAGGCTCCATTTGTCGGCGGAAAAGCCTTTGGCCTGTCGACCGGCGACATTACTTGCGCCGAATCCAGTACTCCGGCCATTTTCAAGAATTTTAATTACGTTTGAGTCCCAAATAATATTAACTACCGAAAAATAACAATTTTCTAATATCCTAATTTATACACAATCTGCCTCGCATGCAACAAAAACAGATTGTTGATGTTGAGTTGGAGAAATCTCCGGATTTTTGGTGCTTGGCACAATTTCAATTTCACCACGTCTCACAATTCAGGTCTCTCTCGCATTACATTTTACATTCTCATCAATGATTGAAATCAAGTGCATTACAAATGAATGAGAGTGAAAGTTTTGTCAAATTGTTTTTGTATCGCGTTATGCAAGTTCATCAACGAATTTATAGCCTCTACCAAACGTTTAAACGTTCTCACATGTGTGCATTTCTCTGAAATCGTACAAATACATGCAGGAATACCAACTTTATTTATTACAACAAAGTGATGCAAGATCTGAAATTTTGCATCACGACTGAATCATTACATCCAAGTTCCATGAAATAATGGATTTATTTCCTTCCTTCCTCTTATAAAATCGTTCATAAATCAAACTAATAAAGTTATACGTCATTCAATATTTAATTTTATGTCTGGCAATAAAAAGTGAATCAATTCAACCAAGATGTAGATTTAGGAGTTGTAAGTACTTGCAACTAAAATCTACTTCATTTTGCTTTTTTCTAGCATACATAGATATACAGATGCATTTTATGTAGAATTTAATTAGGAATTAGAGGCTGATGAAAAGCTAAAATTTCAGTCGTTGAAAGAAAATTGCGACTAAAATCGGGGCAATTTTGGAATTGGACAGGATCAAACCTCGCTCCATTTTTCGCGAGAATTGCAATTTCACTCTACCACACTCATGCATCCCCTGCTCTCGTAATCCCTACAGTGCACAAGCCATATATACACCATCATCGAACCAACCAACCAAGAAATCAGCCAACCATCACACATTCGCAAAAATTTTGCAAACTTGTACTCTCATCAAGTGTTTCGAAATCTGAGAAATTTAGGCTATTCGCACTGCAGCAAAATCTGAAAACTCTACAGCTTTTTCTCGGTAAGGTTTCGCCCCTTCTTTTAGCGCCGGTTGGGGTGGAACAATGGGAATTTATGGGAACTTATGTAAAAGTAGGACATAAGTATAATAGAATTGGCGAGATTGCGTAACAAGCAATAGGATCAAATCTATTTTCAATTTGTGTTGTTTAACTCAATTCAAAATTAGTTTTATTGGTACTAATTGTACTGCGTATTTTTTTATTGTAGTTGATTGTTAAATTTGCAGTTAAATTACAAATTAGAGTAAACCAGAGCTTGGTGAAATATTTTATTAATGTTGGAATAATTATTGTAAACTATTCTAAAGATTAGTAATAATTACTCGTGACAAGATGATGGCGTGATTTTCCAAATTGTCCACATACTAAATTTCTTTGTTGTTTCTTTGTTCTTCAGAATGTAGGACACAAAGTCTGATCTGGATATCGTGAACTGGATACATCAACAAATTTTGTTTGAATCCTTATCCTTACCACCCTTCACCCTTTTTGTAATATTACTGAAGTTCGTTCTCGTCCACGCTACTAACAAAAATGGCTCCTAAAACAACGAATCGGACTCTGCGCTGATTATTATTATGGACGGAGATACATTTGTCCCGTTTAGGATTAGAGAAGGCGATTTAAAAGAAGGAAGAGGTAGAGACCAACAACAAGACGAACATAGTCCGAATTTTGCTGCTGAATTTCCTTCTGTTTCGACATCAACGGTTGACCCGTGGTTACCTGTATCGTCTTCGTCTACGGGGGAGGGAGTGTCTTCAACATCGCCCAAGGCGACACAGGAGGTGAGGGACGAGGAAGAGGTTGAAAGTTCAGACAACGTGACCCACTGGTTGGAGGGAGTTCAACCTGGAGATAGTGGATTCGCTCAAGATCAAGAGGAAGATATGTCGCCACCTGCAACAAGCGGAACTATGGGCGGAGATGGAGACCATGCCGTAACGCCAAAGTGTCCATGCCCTCATATCTCCAAGGCACAGAGTATGCCTGGATTGAGAAAGGCATTGAGGGGCGATATTAAAATAGCATGTTCTAAGGCCACTTGTGAAGCTCTTAATGCTGTACGTAGAACAAAAAACATTTTGTTGTCAGATTATTTGTAAATATGTTAATTGTATTAATCATTTACGCATCTTTGTCAATATTTATAGAAACAATGGATGTGCCTTCAATGTGGTCATATCGGATGTGGTGATGATATTGGTGCAGGTGGTCATGCAAAACTACACTTGAAAACTCCACGGTCGGATTCTCACTGCCTGGCAGTGCAGGTGCAAGGGAATTTTGAAACTGCGTGGTGAGTTGATTTTTGTTTGATGCAACAAATTTCACTTTTTGGCTCATAAATTCATTTCTCGTGTACATTTTAGGTGCTACGACTGCCAAGCGGAGATTAATATGTCGACTTCGCATCAACTCAAGGATTGTCTTAGCTTTGTAAAACGCAATTCTAAGATTAAATCAGCGTTGACAGAATCGAATGCTGCTCCCCCAATTGCGTTGGGCCCTCCCCCTCCTCCTCCAGTTCCAAAAGTTGAACCTCCGAAACAATTTACATCAAAGGCAAAACAGAACAACCGGATGAATGCAAATTCGTCTGGTTCCAATCGATGGGATAGAGATAGAGATACTGGAGGTGTAGATTGGCCCATGGTGCGTGAAAGAGCGATATCCAGATCAAAATTCCGGTTTAATTAATAAAAATAACAATTTGTATTATTATTTCATCCAGGGCTTGGATAACTTGGGAAATACTTGCTTCATGAATTCGGCACTGCAATGCTTATCACGGACTCGACCACGAAGGTATGTAAAACTAAATTATTTATCAATTTATCATTGTTGCAACCAAATGTTGACGACAAAATTTTCTGGATTCGTAGTTTGCTCGACAAGCTGGACTTGTACGGAAGTGGAAACTTAATTGAAATTCTAGTGTCCCCCGAAGAACCCTGTGTTCAAATTGTGAATCCAAACGTCGAGTCCAATGAGCACGAGGACGCAGAGTTCTCATCCGACAACGACAGAGCATTGTTGATTAATTCTGGATCCCAGCCCAGCACTAGTGCCGATTCTTCTGAAGGTGGTAGTGGTGAAATCAGCCCCTCGACTACAGAAATTGACAGTTTGTTGGATGCCGCGAGCAGTAGGTCGTCCCGAAAATCTGAATCGGACACAAGTAGTGGCGACTCTGAAAAGCAACTATGGAAGAAGGAATTGGAGCAGGAACTAGCCAAACCACTTCGGCTAAGGCTAATTATTCCAAAGGATAGCATGACCTCAAAACTACGTCACTGTTTTAAAGCTATTACCAGGAGTTCAGATGTGTCGCCAGACAGCGAGAAAAGTACCTCATATTCTCGTTCTGTATATAGTCCTCGAGGTATCCAAACCGCTGTGAGTAAGCATTTTCGATTGGGACATCAGCATGATTCCCACGAACTGTTGAGAACCGTGGTGGACATGATGAAAAAAGACCAAATAAAGGTGAGTTAACTAATAGTATTATCTGTATTATTTAACTGCGCTCGATTTGTCCGGAGTTTATGATTATGACACTGCTCTAATAATGTGTTTTCAGTCCTTCCGGTTGGCAATTATGCAGCGCTACGGAGTAAAAAGAAACGAAGGAAAGAATTGCGATCCTAAATTGACAGAATTGGTATACAAAATTTTAAAATATCATACATTTTAAGGGCACAAGTTGACATGAATTTAAATGGTATTTCTAGTTAAAAATGTGGGATCGAAAATTGTACCACAAGACTTTCGTAGATGAGATTTTTGGAGGCGAACTTGTAACATTTCAGGAGTGTTTGCGATGTAGAAATGTGAGAAGATCTCATGAAGAATTTCTTGATCTTAGTCTTCCTATTCGTGTTGTAAGTTGTAAAATTTTTGTTTGGTGCTTGCAAATGATAATTTTAAATTACTTGTATTTACAGTTTCGCGTGAATCCTAACCCAAACCCAAGAAAGACTTATTCGTTATTCGACGACGACAATGACTACGTCATTAATCGTACGCAAGAAATATTTCCAAATTATTTATTTATTCATCATTGTTCCTTTGTTTAGTAAAAGTTTTTAAATTTTGTTTTTTGTTTTAATAGGATCCGTCGAAGAGTGCCTTCGTGCTTACACGGAACCCGAGTTTTTAAACGGTAATCATCGTAGATTCTTCTTTTAAATAAAAACTCAAAACTCGGGGTTTTGAAAAGTTTTTTTTTCTTACAGGTTCAAACGCCGTCGAGTGTGAAAAATGTCATCGAGTAAACCTAGATAAGTTGGAAAGTGGAGCTTCGTTTGAAGAAGTTTTTCCTGACGTGAACCTAAACGCACAATCAAATTCCTCAGGAAACTCTGGCAAAATGAGTAAGCATCAAATGAAGAAACAACAAACTAAAACTAAGCGCCAAAGTCGCCAATCGAAATTGAAGGCGAAGCATCAAGTAGATTTTACAAATCAATCAACAAGTTCGAGCTCAGAGAATCCATCTGGACTCAATTTTGTGGATGGTCATTTTACTAGTGACACGTATAAATCCTCTGAGAAAGGAGGAGGAGGTAATGGCCCAGAAGATGACTCAAAGTCGAGCAAAAGTGGAAGCCTCGATGATTACGTTGTTGTTCAAAATGCTTCCACTTTAAACAATAACAACCAATCACAACGTCTTCAGAAGAATACCAATCATGACGTCGAAATGGATTACGATGCTCCAGATGCCACTCAGCAAGATGATGACACATCCAAACTTGGGGAAGCATCTAACTTGTCACGTGGTTTGTCATCATCTATAAAAAGCTTAACTTTGATTGAAAATGGAATGGATGTCGAAGAAGAAGGTTGTCTTCAACCTGAAGAAGATGATGATCAACAAATGGACCATCATAATGATCAAAATCTGGACGAGTATATGGACGATTTAGATGAACCAGCAGTAGATGGAATTGGAAATGCGTCCGACATTGAAGACGATGAAAGTAATGGACCAGCTCCACTCGATCTCGGACTAGAGGTTAAGCCCATCAGCGTTGCGGACTATCTGGCTGTCCCGACAATTAGTGGTGGCATTGCTGATGAAGGATTCTCGGAAGGAGAGAATTCGTCCGAGGATAAGCCTTCTCAGTCCCTGTCCGGTGCATCGAGCCATAATTCAATATCTGAAGTTGATAACATTGCCGACACTTGTGACAACAAGCCGCCAAAGAAAATCCCTATAACTAAATGCCCTTGTAGTCGTCGTCAATTAATTTCTCGAGCTCCTGAATGTCTGACCCTTCATTTGAAGCGATTTCAACATACGGTAAGTTAATCTCAATATATATATATAAATTAGTAAGTAAAATTTACACGCGAGTTATACTATTTCATAATTTACTTACTTATCTATTGAATAATTTTCCAGGCGCGAGGCAGTTCAAAGTTGAGCGATAAAGTATCGTTCCCTTATTTACTAAATCTGACTGAATTTTGTTCGGAAGTTGACGAAGATGTGAACAAGCCAGGATTCAAAAGCACGTTTGATGAAGACGGTGAAGTTTTTTATTCCTTGTACGGAATTGTAGAACACAGTGGTTCTCTGCATTTTGGGCACTATGTTGCCTACGTTAAAGTTGCTGGAAAACCAACCACTACCGAGTCACCTAATGCCAACCCTGCAGATGATCATTGGTTCTACATCAGTGATTCGCACGTGTCTCAAACAACGTTGAAACAAACATTGGCCCAAGACGCGTACATTCTTTTTTATGAACGGATTCGTGGCCCAGAAAAGAAGGAACGGTTAGGTCGAGAATTAAGAGCGATTGAATTGGAACGTGATTCTTGGACAAAAAGACCCACTGTCACTTACAGTTACGAAAAACCTGTCGCTTCAACATCCAACTGGGATGACAATCAGCAAAAATCAACAACCAAATGGGAAGATTCATCTTCTAATCATCAAGTTTCCAGCACCAACGATGGTAATGAAGATATGAGCATAACCCTCAACTATGAACCTGACCCGGTTTCCTCATCAACAATTTACTCTTGCGCTCCCCTACTTGATGGGGTCAGTAGTACGACTGGTGCTGACATTATGGACTTTTCGGCTACAGTCCTTACCACAGCTCCGTCGTCTTCTTCACATCCTCTTTGGAATGATGATGACATTCGTGGTGGAAGTGCATTCTTTGGTGACATCATGGCCGATTTAGACGACGAAGAGCAAGAAGGAACTTTAAACAGTAATAACAATCCCGTTTCAAGTAGTTCTGATGTGATAAATTCCCGGCCAGATGGGTACACAAGATTAGAGGAAATTGATTAACACTTTATTAGTATGATTATTATAAATAAACGTTACAAAAAGTCATAAAGATTACTCATAAAAGAAGTGATAAGAAGCGAGTGGTATTAGCTCTAGTAAAATTAACTATCTTTATCTTTGAATGATACCTATAGTTATATTTAGAATATATTCAAATATATGTATCGCAATTGAGTTTACAAACGTTAAAAATTAGCTCGTCTTATTGAGAATCATAAACAAATGTTACAATATGTAACTGAACACAATTACTATTTGCCAGACGCACTAAACTGACATGACCGTGTGCGTTGATCTAATATTTCTATTACATTTTTTGCAGTTGTGTATTTAAAGCCGAAACAAACAAACAAATTTAATATTATTACTACTACAACAATTTGAATTGTCTAAATAATAATCACACATGCATGTGGAGGAGGTAGCTGATCTTGCATGCTTATGTATATCATGCATTGTAAATATATTATGATTAATTGGAGGTGTCGTTTACATGTGATAATAATAAAACGGCAATTAAAATTCTACTTTCCTTGGCTTAATTCGCTGTTTTCGTCAAGCGGTTTTATTCGATAGGTTTATCAGTCATGGTACATTTCAACAAATAAGAGTTGGATTTAACAATCAAAAATACAATCATGCTTGAGAATTTTGTTGCTTCATTATCAGTTAAAATTTGCATATTTAGTAAATAATGCATGTAAAACATATAAAACATACACACGTAAATATCAATTCTACTTGTTGGGGTTAAGATCACAAGGCCTTTTGAGAAAGTTTTCGTTTAGATGGGTCCATTTGGTGGCTATCCACTTGTGGCCGAGGACAATAGGACAGGCACCATGCTTTGAAAATTTACAAGATTAAACCACGCAATTAATAAGTATTTTAAAAATAACTCTGATATTTTTCGAAAAGATTAAAGTTTTCTTACCAACATACGCATATCAACGTTGCCGTTTTTAAGGGATGTGTTCCTGCATAAGCACGACAAATTATAATATATGGAAAATTTTGTTGAAATAATCTATGTACCAGTAAACAGCAGTTTAACCGGGAAATTAATTTCAAATAGAAAGTCATCACTCATCATCCCTCGCACCAAATAATTAAAGTAGTGAATTGCAACTTGAAGATAACCAGTATTTTGATAACTTTGAGTGTTACTTAGGTGGAGATCGGGTGATTGATATTTAGAGTTAGTTAATTGTGATTGGAATTAGTGTGGTGTTCAGAAAATTTTGCCAATAAATTATTAACTACACGTAAGTACTTATCATGCATTATTATTATACTTAGTTGTTTGCAACTTTGCATATTATCGTGACAAGGTTTTTAAGTTAATTGTCCAAATGTTATTATTATGTAGTTTCATGATGAGTGATCAGTCGGGCGATGAAGATTTTGTCAACCCTCCCTCCTCCTTTTCAAGAACACCGGCGCCAGCCACACCATCAACTTCTTCTTCCAAACGGAAAGCAGCCACTCCCACCAGCAGCAAATCATCAAAGAAGAAGAAGAGCGACGATGATGACGCCAAGGAGGAAGAATTGCCAAGTTTTAGGTAATTTTTCAAATAACGAAAATCATGCCATAATATGAGATGACTCTTTTTATGCACAATTCCGACAGGTTTCTTAAATTGGATTCGGACGATGATGACGATGAGGACGACCTATTGACAAAACAGGAGTGGAGAATGGTGGAGAGCAAAGAGGGAGGTACGAGATATTTTAGAACCGCACCCACCAGTCCCCCCGAACGAGGTTATGCAAACCGGAAAATAAATATGCGAGAGGATAAGGCCGGTAATGACTGGTGGAAAATCGCCAAAGTCTTGAATACGACTAAAAGGATGTCAAACAAATCGGAGGGTAAGCATTATTATTTGCATTTCATATGATTACTAGGTATACTATTTATAATGGTTTGTTCTTGTTTTTAGATGAAGGGGATAATAAACTTCGTGAGTTTTTCTGCACTTTGGCACGATAGGGACGAGGAGATGGGATCACAACAATCTACCATTTCTGATCTGACTCCTCTCACCCCAGAAAATATTACGGGAAGATACCCCCCACTCACTGCTGCAGAGAGGGAGATTGCAGAGACAAGGATTAGACAAGCTGGGGAATTAGGATTGGCAGTCCCAGGAACAAATTCAAGGGTTGCGTGGTCACCACAAAATCAAAACCGGTCATACGGTTTATTCGTATATATAAAACCAACCGAGAAACAAGACTTTATCTGTGCCGGAATTCCGAGTAAGTTAGTTTTTTCTATAAATAATGAATTGTTTAATCCGGTTGTATAAATATGACATGTGTATAGATTGTGTGAGAACTACGTCGACTATTATGGACCCGCTCCCTAAATGTGAACTCCACAAAGGAGACCAGATTGGTTTCGTCTTGTGTCAATTTACTGATGGGGCCAACAAGAAGAACGATGTGGTCCTCCACGTTATTGCCTCTTTTACATACATTTATGGGGATGATGAGGAGAAAGGAAATCACGCCACACGGGCAATCAAATATAAACAAACTAAATGCGCCCTGGAAATTATACTCCAAAGAGCGTTTGGCAGCCAAGAAACCACCCCCAGAATTAGTTGAACTTGAGGGGCGTCGCCGGTACTTTGATGATGAGGATGAACTCATGAAAGTTTATTCAGCACGAAAGGTAATAATAGTAATGCTGCTAAATATATAACTTTCACTTTCATGATTACTCATTCAATAAATACTTTTTAGACCACGACCCTACTTCAGCTGCTCTTGTGGCCCGACACTACCATCAAAATAATCTGCCTGAATGTGGGAATCAATCTTCCCAATGGTGCATATAAGGAATTGGTGGAGGAAATGGATTTGCATGGTTTGGAATTGAGGATTCACGACAAGTTATCAAAATCAGCAGCAATTACTTTGGAGGAGGGTCAAGAGATTCCGTTTCTTTTAAGAGCAGAAAATGGTGAAAGTATTGGGGCGTTGTTATCACGAGGAAAAAACGAGAAGAAAGAGAAGGTCGCAGCGATATATTTTGTCTCGACTCCCTACATTATTTATGCGGGACAAGCTCTCAATAGTAACGTACATGGTCATAAAAATCTTAAAGACCCCGTCGTCGACTACCAAAATAACAAGCCCCCCTCCCACCCTAACCCCAAGATTGTCCCAATTGGGATTGTTCGTGCGGAGGAGCGGTACAAATGGGAATTCCATCTCCAAATGTGTGCCCTAATCGCATCACTCTTACGACTCCGAAACTGTATAAATCCGTCCGATTTCTCTGCCCAGTCTCACCCTCTGTGTATTAATAGGCAGGTCAATTCGAGTTTTGTAGATCAAAAGTCGTGGGGAATTATCCACGGATATTTAATGAAAAAGTTTTTAGTGGATGTGTATTTAGGACCAAAGGCGTCCGACCAGTAGTAATGTTGATGATAATTTGTAGTTTTTCTTAAAATACTAAAAGTTTAAAACCATACCAGTACACTCCAGTCCCTTTAATTGGTTTTATGTGAGTACCAACGATGGGGAAAGCTGTTAGACCTCCCTTTTCGACATTGTTAAGCTAAAGTCATTTAAGTTATGCAATTAATAATGAGTCATCATCCTGCACAATTTAGTTGTTTTATGTATGCTTACATATACTAGATACGTTGAGACACGGTCACCCTTCCACTAAACACGAAGAGTCCACAATAATATTATCACTTTACGTACATTTCATCTAGCATATACATGAAGTTAAGTACTTACAGCAATAATTGGATCATCGGTACTTCTTACGCCGAGCGAGTCATAGTGGGTGCTTACATGTCCCCCTGTGTTTTGATTAGCAAATTATACTGTTGTTCAAAAATCGTGGATAATTATGTATTTTTTGTAAACGCACCGAACGCATACGACGCAATTTGTAGGGCTTCAGAGGCGTTCATACCCCTAACATTGAGATTAAACATGAGTTCCATTCTTCTAGCGATTGGAGCGTCCTGAGAAAAAAATTAAATTTAGCCGATTGCATTAATCAACAGCTTTTATTAACAACATACCGGAATGTGACCATCTTCCAACCCTGCGTTTTAAATACACTCAATTTAATAGATATTCATTAATACCACTAATTTTGTGTATATTTCAACAACTCACAAGCATAAATCGCAGTTCGGGGAGTAGCTCCCGGAGAATTAGGGGCCTTTAAGAAAAATAAAAAACAGTATATAAAGATGCATGTATTTACATGCACATGCAAAAAATTGAAGGATTTGCATTTTTACCGGTGCCCGTTGCAATGTGGGCATCGCTGCTTTTCTAAAATCTTTGATCTGAAACATGTTTTAAATTATTAATCTGCATATATTCTGGATCTCTAAACCAACAACTTACCCATGCATCAGGAATGATATCATGAAACTGAAAGAAAATGAGAATGCCACAAGTTTCGTCTGTTTTCTGATAAAGTCAATTTGTCACATAATTCCTGTATCCCATACCTGAATCATTTCTGGATCCTTGTAAATTAGTTCCATCCGAAGAGGTCGAATTGTAAAGTAGGGATGACGCTTAGTCTCAATCCAACAATACAGTTTAGATCTTTCTTTTGGAGTCTGGAATATTTTATGCAGAAAAAATTTGAATCGAATCAGGTCAACAATTTATGCAAACAATTTGGTCTTGATATTTATGTTTTATACCAAAAAGTCGTCACCATTGCACAAGGCCAAAAATGCATAATGTCCAGCTTCCCCTTGATCACTTCGGTCACCTCGGTATTTCTCCATCATAATATTTTTCAGGGGAACTGCGTCTGGAACGGTTGAGATTCTGTCGGAAAACATGTAGAGGTGACCTTGATAGCGATTCTTTTCAAAATCCCTGTCGTGCTTCTCAATCAGCCTTTTGTAAGTATTCGCAAGGCTAAACGCAGAAACGGTTGTGTCGTTGAGTTCCTTGATTTTATATTCTGTGGCCTTCAGCCAATCTAACGCCAGAGTGTAGTACTCGTTTCTACAATTAAATAAGTAAATAATTTATAATATAAATAATTTACATAAATAATTTTAAATAATTAATTGTCACATTTTTCGTACCGGGCAGAGTATTCTGCAATTTTAAAACTTTGTGATGGCGTCAGCCCCACGTGAGTTTCGACGTCCATTATTTTTCCATTGACCAGCTAAAAGGTAAGAATAATAGATAAATACATAGTGGCTTTTTCTTGTCTACTCGAATTAGCGAGTCAATTAAGTCATCTTACATCCATGGCTTTCAAATCGTATACATAATGCAGTCTTAGCAATGCATCTATTCCATCATTGCAATCTCTGTCCCCTGGAAATCCGAATTGTCCTCCTAATTTGTTTACCCGTTCAACAAGTTCTGAAAAAAAATATTGCAGCATTAAGATCACAATTCTGACATAACTTTCTGAAAAATATTGATTAAATTCTTCTCACTTCCTTCCAAATATTGGTTAACGTGAGCTCCAAAGACGTCAAATTCGTTGGCGAATCGCCTCACCATTCTGTACGACATGAGTGGATTGGAAGAAACCTGAGACGCTTTTGTCCACTCGTCCGCATCTGCTAAGTGTTCGGTCCCTTTGATTGTACTGTCTTCATAGTCGGTCAGATAAGCTTCTGCCATGGCTAATCTTTCCTTGAGTGTTTTTGCATAGTTTTTGATATCCTTGTAAAGTTCCATTTCCGTCCTTGCCAGATAAGTGAGGTAGGTTGAGGAGAGGGCGTACGGGAGTGGAGTCATGGGTCCTTCTGGCCCCTTGTGCTTCTTAGCATTTGCATTTCCACCGTCATCATCTCCAGTCTGGTTGTTCTTGTTTAACGCTTGTTCTGAAGGGGTTCCCCATTGTCCGTAACATGGACTGATAATACTTGTTATGACTGAGACCAGGAAAATTAGCACCACTAAATTGTTGACTTGTGATGATTTGTTGAGCATTTTAAAGGATTGATTTGGATCACATTAATTTATTGCGTTGTTTAATGGACACAATGTTCCAGTGTGATGAATATGATCTGTAAAATTAAAATTAAATAAGAAACCCGTTCAAATTTAACAAAAAGTTGGAATGCATTTCGTTTTGTTTTATGCAAGACGCAGAATAATGAAACAAGGCGGAGTTTGACATGCATCACTAATTATTGTATTTTCTCAGAATGATGATGATGACACCTATTTATAGCTCGTTAAGTTAACAATAAGTGTGATAAAAATTGGTCGTCTAATTAGTATGGATTTTTTAAATCAGTAATAGCAGCATAAATTGAGTTTACTTTTAATTACTTAAGCCACGCACGGATATATTATTTTGGGCAACAATAGCCTCTTGGCCTGAACTTGGATTGATGTCATTACTTATCACGGGAATTTTCATTGATTCCTTTCTCAGCGAGGTTTAATAATCTTAATAATTTTCACATTTGAAACACTAGGCATGCTATTAAGTAAGCTAGCCAAAAAAAGAAGATCCACTTTGTATTAATTAGGTTGCGAGATCATTTGTAGTCTAAATGGGAATCGAGGCAAATCCACTGCTATACTTAATCGTGATCTTCTTGATATTGAAGTACGCATTTGAGTTTGTAGGTTAAATTGTGTTAAAAAATTTGCAAGGTGCAAATGTTAAAAATTCACTGCGATATGCAACCACACTTCTTCTCAGGCTATAACCTCACGTAGATAAAAGTAATCTAGAACTGGTGCATTATTTCCTGTGCATTACGTCGAGATTCTTGCTATTTGCAGCCAAACTGTCAATTGCAGGTATGCATGCATGCATACAAATATTCCGATTATTCAGTATTCAGTCATCTGTCACAACAACAATTAAGACCATCTGTGTACACATTACAATAAGCACGTCACATTCAGGATATTAACATAAAAACTGTAATGCACGCTTATTTTTTACAATATTTAGTAATGCAAACTTTTGAAACTTTAAACATTGACAAAATTTACTTCTTAAATAGAGGGAGATGCGTATTGATTATTTCTTGGCACCGGCAGTGATTGCATACTTACCTTGATTGAAATTAACTATCTCTCTCCAGTGATTTCTAGGAGCAGAAAGGCCGAACAAAGAAATATGTAACTGCGACTATAAAATTTTAATAGAGAGCACTTTTTTAAAATATAAATCTGGCGTAGAAATTCCCCCAGCCTGCTGCATGTACACTAGATCAGTTCTGCAGACTACGGTCAACACTAACTAACCAACATTACAACGTAGCCTTATTTTCTTTACAAAGCCGTAAGTTTGAAAGATTTTTTACTCAAGTCCACCATCCACAACAGTTAGTATTAAAGTAACACATAGTTTAATGCATGCATACATACAGCTTTGAAATCGCATCTCACTTGTTGAATTTCGGTTGGGGAAAGAGGTGGTCTGGTGGATATATTGCCGTTCATTTCAATGTCTACGGGTATAAAGTGGAAGGTAAATACCCCTCGTTCGTGTACCTTTCATAAGAAAAGAGTTGAAACTTGATGGAAGTTTACTATACAGAAGAAAGACATGATTGTACATATTTTTTACCCGTGTCGATGCGAGTTAGTATCTACTTTAATGCAGCTTCTCATCGTAATTTTGTGCAGATTCACCTAAAAACAGGTTTCCCACCCGACCATGAAAAGGGTATTGGACTTGTCAAAGCTATATGAAAAAGGTCCACAACAAATCGACAAACTGCTTACGTGTATCTCAGCACATGTGCTAATCCTATGTACGCGTATACATATGAGTGAATTGGATTGTTGAATTCCATATACTGACAAACTGATGATGTAAATTCACAAATTTTTCATAATTTGCATGCAAACAATGAAAAATAGGTAGATATGATTTGAATTTGGATTAAATTGCAGTAGAGCTCATCATGAATATTTATACTCTTCTGGCAATGTGGTTCTAAAGAGTGCATGCATTTATTATGGCCTGCAGAGCTGAATGCATGCATAAAAACTTTACATATGTAATACGCTGTTGGATGGAGCACATAATAAAAACCTTTACTCGTAGTATGAATTTTAGTTTTGCACCAGATTATAGATCGTGCTGTATTCATTTACATTTACATAGTCGTAAATATCTGTCATTCGACACAAATATATGGTATAAATACACTTAAATCATACATTCATCGAAATCTTGGGGTTCAGACTTTCTCCAGGGCCAGTCCCATCCATAAAACACGTCCCACAAGTCCTCCTCCTCCTCCGCCTCAGTTACATAGGTTATCAAAGTGATAAGCAAAAATGTAAAGACCCAGAGAAGGAAAAACCTTCGAAAACGGTGACTGATCACCTCCATGGCACAGAGGATAAGAAACGCTCCACAATATATCACGAGGGAGAAGGACATTGACACACCGAACATGACAACGTAGCTGTACAAACCTGCAGATACATTTAGTTCACATCAGAATAAATTTTAAATTAATGTGGGGGTCATTTTCGAGGGGACATTACCACGACTCCCGTCCGGAACAACAGATGCATTTCTATCTGACAATGTTGATAAGATTAAAACAATGAAGAAGGCTGCCCACACGTAAGGAAATAATATCCCAAACTTCCCGAGATCAGAGAGCCACCTTTTCATAGCCAGTATTACGAATGGTATTGGTGTCACTAGGGACGCGCCGAGGATACCGATCCGAAATGGGAAGGGTATTTTGCTAACTTCTTCTCGGACCAAGGGAGCAATGCTACATAACGGCATGTTTAATTACAGTGTGTGTTTGCGGTAGGATACGTGATGATAACCTGATGATGAGACTGATAAGACGGTTAAGTCGGAATTTCTACTTATTAAGTCAATTTCCGTCCCTTCTCAACGCTTGACAACAGACAAAAATGGTACATGGCAATCATTTCTCCAACTCCACAATTTTAATTACAAGTCCCTCATGGAAAAAGTGTGTTTTTGAATGCAAAGACAACGAAATTGAAGAATATGCATCACTTTTACGCCGATCCATAAATTTTATTAGCTGAAGCAATATAGATAAATGTAATCTTGCTGTCATGCAATTCAGTCCCCGTTAAAGCGGAATAAGAGAAAAGTGCTTTCAACTGGCTGCCGAAATAGCTCAGTTGGGAGAGCGTTAGACTGAAGATCTAAAGGTCCCTGGTTCAATCCCGGGTTTCGGCAAATTTTTTTTGCTCAAATTTCTTAGCACTAATTTTTGCATTAACAGATAATAAATTAATATTTACCATTCTATTTGTGGAGAGCTATGAACTCATGCAAAATAAACTTGAAAATGTTCTCTTCGTTATAAATTAAAAATTTTGGCTAAAATAAATGCAGTTTAAAATTCTTATGCATTCGAAATATTATTTCTATTCCCCGAGAGGGAGGAGGAGGATCTTTATTACTCGTGGTTAAATTACCTGCAAAATATGTCTTGTTACTACAAATAAATTACTACACAGGCAAGTTTAACAGATCACAATGGATAATAAAATATTAGAGATTCATGGGAGAGTAAGATGTTTTCTTTTTAAGTTGCTCGAAAAGTAGTGGAACCTATTTTAAAAATATAATTTTACTAATTTCCCTCGAACTTTTTATAGTATGAAAAATTTCAAATTCTTACTTGTTCCATACGGATTTTGAAGGGCACTGTATGAGGTCCGTCGGTTTGAAGGGAGCTGCACACGGGATAAACCTGGATACAATTTTTGACATTATCAGCACATATTTATTAGTTATCATTTTGTATAATTAATACATCATTATCATCACTACCTTTTGACAATTACGTTGATTCCTGCCATGAAGTCCAGCCATTTCAATCTTTTTGCTTTGACCTTCTGACGTATCAACTTCTCCAAGTAATCTAGCAATCGCTGCAAATTCATAAAATTAATAAAAAATACAATTGTGAACGTTGAATTGGTGATTTAATGTAGGATGTAGCACACGTGACACCTCTGCAAAACTGGTCGTATTTTGCATAGGTCGGGTAAACAACGCCCAAATAGCGTTCTCTCTTTAATACTTTATTTGAATGTTAAAATTACTTGAAATTTAGACTAAATTGAAGAGCTAGCAGTAAATCATAAAACATTCCATTCACAAATTCATACCTGCGGTGACCCGATTTCCAGCAGGCCGACCAGTAAGACCGTACTCTTTCACAATGACTTTATTCACCAGGCACACGCCTGTTAGTGTGCATTCCGAGGGGATGAGTCCTATATGAAATTGCGTATTGTTTTACATTATTTAACTGGATATGCAAATAAAAACATTATTATTTCACCATTTCTCGCGTGGGCAACGGGACTCAAGTATGGAAGGACTTCGTAGAAAATTCGTTGTCGTTTGGCCTCTTCAGATTCTTCTTGTAGTTCAAAGGGCGAAGGTTCTAATGACCTTTTCCTCCGTCCAGCCGCCGTGGTTGTCGTCGTGGTCAGTAAAAGAATCACGTTTGACAAGAGGGAAAGTAGGCCCAAGAGTCCAAGCAGGCCAATGGCGTTGGTGTTGACCTGTCATAGTTATTGAGGCAGGTGTCATTTAATTGCATAAAGCCATTCGAAAATTGACTACATGTGAACCTATTACATACGTGCGTGTAACCATTTGTGTATGTGCAATACTGTAAACCATCTAAAATACTTATGTAAGTGCCACCTGAACAACCAGCAACGTGACGCCCTGTCCCTTTTTTACGCAATTCAAAATCTAACCTGTGACGACTGATCACTTTCATTTTCAGATTTCATATAATGATGGTTCTTGTGGATGTCTAAATCCTGTTTAAATTTGCCCTTAACCCAAGCGTGATACGCCTAAAGGTGGATTCCCTAAACTTTAAATGTTTCACCTTGCTGTCCATCAATGTCGTTGTTAAATCACTCACATGACTGTTGTAACCGTGGTCGTGGTGTCCGTGGTCATGACCATGACCGTGATGCTCAGGTTCCTTCCAGCCCCATCCCCACCCACCGCCACCGTGCCCACCGTGACCAGACGCTAAAGCCAGTGCATCACCGTACCCATCAAAATCTACGGGTGGGGCTACAGCATTTCCTAGGATTGAACTTGCAGCAGCCGCTGCGATGGCAGGATTGACCCCAACGCCCAAACTATTCAACGCATTTAACTTGCTAACTGTGGCCGCGTTCAGTAAAAGATCTCGAGCGGCGCGTTCCCTCTCGTAAAATGGGTACGAGTCCAGAAGAGGATTTCCTGCGTGGTAACTGCTCCCACCGGCACCGAGTGGATAACTGGTATAGATTTGCTGTCCAGAAGTGGCTGACCCTAGACCAAAGTTGTTGTTGTGGTGGTTGATATACTTTTCAAACTTTTCGGCTGATTGGGCAGTATATCGTTGAGAGATTGGGGGATGTGGATATGAAGAAGAAGAGGAGGAGGAGGATGAACTACCTGAATTGTCTTTTTGAGAGGAACTCTGTTTTTGAGACGCTCCTCCAGAGGAACTTGATCCCGATGACGAGATCAGGCGGTGGTTACCCCACTGGTTGTAGTCGGGGTTGAAGGGTTGCAAAAGTTCCTCCTCCCTCTCCGTGTCAAAGTCGCTGGCAAGACCAGAAACTGGCATTGCTCTCGAAGAGGAAATTGTGGGCGAGGGATAAATCTGATGGTCGTCTGTCGTAGTGTGATTTTCCATGGGACTGAAGGAATTAACACCTAACTTTGACACTTGTTTGGAACGGTATCTTTTCGAGGACTTGGAACTTTCTCCATTTAACGGACGGACACTGAAACTAAGCACGAGAGCTAAAGATAGGAAAATAGGGAATAAATCCTTGAGACTTTTCATCTCGATTGTGATAAAGTAATAATAATGTGAGCTCTCTTATTTCCGACTCCTTCTCATAAACAAGGAAGTTGAGAAACTGAACAATTTTGATTTTAGTCTTCCGTTATTTATAACAAATGTACGAAGTTTGTCAGTCTCGACTACATTTTTGAGGGCGAAGATGATCATCTAAAAATACAAGTTGCATTGAATAGGTAGAACAAAATGTAGGAATCTCGCTCAATTGTTGACCAATCAAGGGTGAAAAATGCAATAAATGATACTTTTCATGACCGAAGATGTGGTCGAACCGAAATCAAATTGGCCGTGTCTTTTGTTTCAAGGTGACTGGGACAGATAAACTTGTAAATGTACCATTTATTACAATTGTACATCATAGTCTTAATTTTTTATTACACAGTGCAAAAATGAGGACAATGTGAATGATGTGTATGCGTGTACATATCCTTTCGTTGAGACAAAAATGAAACACATCCGCATTAAAATTACAGATTATTCTCAGAGAATGAGATTGACAATGTTTCTTCAATAATGGATTGATTTGCACAAAAATAACAACTTCCATCTTCACTGCTAAAATCGTAACCCACATTAGAACTCACATTAAAGTGACATGCACTGAATGATTCAAATGTTGAATTGAAGTTAATGTGCGACACTATTTTTGCGATTTTATGGTATTTCCTAGTCGGATTAAATTGTAATTATTTTATTAACAATTTATACAAAAAGTATTGTACAGTCTTGTATTTTACAAAATAAAGTGTGTAAATTAATAACACCTTATCCAAATGCGAGGGAACATGAGTCAAAATAGTAAATGTGTATAAATTGAGTATAAAATTGCCGAATTTTGTAAACTGACAGGTCCAATTAAGGTTTAAATATTAAATTATACGAGAAATAAATGAGTTGATTGGGAAAATTGTACTGAAACCTTATATAATTAGACTAGGCAAAAATAGTTCTGCCTTCTGAAGGTTTTCTGGTTCGGATACATTGGAATATCCCAACAACTAGAATCACTGCTAGTACAACAATTCCTACTATCGTCCCGATTCCGGCCGGAGTTTTCACCCAGGGCTTTTTAGTCGGTGTAATGGCTTCTGGTGTCGTCGATGGGGCAGGCGTGTTGATGGGTGTGGTTATAATCGTTGTTGTTGTCTCATACTCTTCTCTTAGGGCGATCCCAGCAACATTCGAAGGTTCAGACTAAGGAATTTAAGAAAACCGTATTAAAATATATGTATCAACTGACATGACATACATATGTGTACTCAAATTGAACTAATACCGTCTGCGTTCTGAATGTGGCTACTACTGCAAAGAATGCCCTACTCTCGTTGTAATCACGAAAGTCGTACTTTACATTTACTACAGTACCAGGAAGGACACCCTCTTCCGAAACAATATGCAGCGAATTATCTATTCCTCCTACAAACTTGTCGACGCTTGAAGCCAAGTAAATTTGATACCATTCAGCTCCTGTGTTAATACAAATATGGACTTTGTTAGTAAATAAGAGTAGATTAATCACGGGGGAACAACTTACTAGCATTGTCAATTCCTAATATTTTCGGAGATGTGAATCCAAACTGCACTTCGGATCCTTGTAAGCGAGTCACTGTGAAATCCAAAATTCGTACAGGTCGTGGAGAAAATGTAATCGCATTCTCAACCAACAGTGTCCCGAGCATATTTTCGGAGCGACCCAAGTAGCCTCCGATTTGTGCTGATCTGCATCTTGGATTAGAACTCGAAGCACAACCAAATTGAGATTGATCCATTGGAATGAGACGTCCCAATAAATTCACGGTTTCTTCGTCGCCTTCGGAAACTTGGTTAAGAGCAACTTGGTGGTAGACTGAGACTGAAATTTTGTAAACTCCATTTTGGGGAGGGGTGAAAGTCGAAGAGTAAATGCCATCATTTGCCGAAACGTCCGGAAGACCAGATCCGTCATCGAATAATGGAATCGTATATTCTCTCAAATTTTCAAAAATTATTGTAGCTTCTACATTTTCTAAATTGAGCACCCTCTTTCCACCTGACTCAATTGTAGCAAAGATTGACAAGGGGACAATTTTTGCACCTCTACGGTCGAAATCAAAGTAATTATTCTCTGCCGATGTGTCAACTTGAATGTCCAACGAATTGCTAGGATTTTCGGGGTCAGCCGTTTCGACACTTGCAACCAAAAAGGCAACACAATCATCGGATACTTGTGAGGAACAATTTGTGATATGGACGTCAAATTTGGAGTCCTGCATAAATAAAATTATTATTTAGTACAAAGTTGTTTACTTGTTACTTATTGATTTATTATGTAATTTACCTTTGGAGGGTTCTCAATTCTGGCGATCATAACTGTTCGCCTAGATCCGTCCGATACTTCGTTCCATTCGTCATTTCGAATTGTTTCAAAGCTTATTGGGGGTCCTTCAACTTGTCGAATTTCAACATCACCTTCAGAAATGTATTTCTTGATTGTCAAGCAAAGCACAAGGGATTTGATATTTGCATCAAGAATCGGAATCCCAATTTCACTTCGGAGTGGAACAAATCCTTTGAATACCTGTATCATTAACAAATTAATGAAGATTGTCAGCAAAGACACACAAATTGTTATTTGCAGTGTCTGTATAACTGTACCGTAAATTTTCTGTTTATTCCAGGCTCCACAGCGTTATCAAATTCTTTTTTAACAACGTTCAAAAATGTGTCAAGTTTAGCCTTGACATCTGTTGTTCCATTGACGACATGATGCTGCCCATCCGTGAGAGAAACAAGTTGTTCGAGATTCACATATGGCGTTTTCTGACTTTGTTGAATTTCGATTGCAAACAAGCGCAGATTTTGATCTTGGATGGATGAAAGAACGTCCCCAAAGTAGGTGCTATGCTCGAAACCATTTTGCGTTGCGCCTCTCTTGACCACAAGTACAATTGAGCCCGCCGCATGTCTTCTGGCACGTATTTTCTCTACGACTTCTTGGATAGCAAGGCCAAAGTCACGGACAACTGGACCATCGTAATGTTCCAAAGTGGTTTGAATGACGCTGGAAGTAGTGTGCAAATATTTGGGCATAAAATTATTTGGGTAAACTTTTCAATCTGTCATCCTGAAAGAAAACCTACTTTGAAAACTTTGCGGATCCTGACTGGATTGTTGACCATTCACCCTCTTCATTAACATAAAAGTGGCTTCTGTCACTACTACTCTGGGGAAACGTTCCGATAGCCGTAACGATATCTTGAGGAAGATTGGTGTCACTCACAAAAGCTTGTAGACATTGGACAATTTGATCCAAGATTTCGGATGATGTCTATTCAAATCAGAACCAATGAACATTTTACAAATATTTAGTCTCAAAATATGCAATAATGGCGATAAGTCTAAGTCTAATCCTATCAGACTTACGGAAGTTCTCCCCTTGTCAAGCAAAATATACAGCAACGGCTTCTGAGAATTTTTGACAACCTTAAAAGTCATATCGGGCAAGTCATCGAGTGGTCTGCCAACCGTCTGATAATAGTCATCACTCTCTCTAATAACTTCCCAAACACTTCGATGACCACACCACAGATTGTGTCGATTTGGTGCTTCATGGTTGTGAGTTGTTTCATCGCAAAATTCCGTCACATCATTTGCCCATGGAAAGAAGTTGAGAGACGTGTTGACCGAATTAGTTGCAGATGGAATAAATCTGCATTTTTCACTGTTTGGCCCATCGTTGGATTTAGGGTCGCAGTCGGGGCTTGATTGTCCTTGTCTGAAGTACAAATGCGAAATGAATGGAAATAGATAAGGAGAAAGTAAAATGAATTACAAGAAATAAACTTTACCTGGTCAGAATGTCACCTTCTAAATTTTCAGAACATCCTGTAACAGTCCAGACAGGATTTACTGATGGCTTAACGTGAAAGTATGGAAATTGGCCAGTTCCAATGTCCCCGTGTTCCTCATTAGTGCCATAACGGTATCGAGCAAATAAGTTTAATATGGCTCTAACTGAAGTACAAAAATCGCAAAATTAGTAAACCTTTTAAGTTAATAATTTGATAATTCTGACATATTCACCTGGATCGCCGTATTTAGGCGGAGTTACATGATCCATTTCCGAGAAAAAATCAGTCGGAAGTTCAATGTGTTGCCCTGCAGCCCCACAAGGGATAGGATTTTCCACTCTTGCAGCGTCAAAATCATTGGAAATTTTGATATCTGCAGTTGCATAGGTTTGTCTGTTGCAAATTTGTACAGAATTATTCAGTATATCAAATTTCCAAGCTGATTAATATAAAAATTAAATTACATGGTGGCAGTGGTCGCATCTGTTGCCCAATTTTGTGGAATCAATAACTCGACAGAATTGATGTGAAACTTTTTCCTGGTGCTGAGCCACAATTGATTTGAGAATTGTGTGAATACTTGCTGCAATCATAATAATACACAAATTATGTTTACATTTGCATACGCCTATTGAATCTCATAATTTTAAAACAAAATTTACCTGCAAATTGTTGAGAAACTTTGGGACACCTTGAACTCCTACACCAAAATTGGTTGGGGGTGGAGTTGATTCATCGACGGCAATCACCAAGTCGTATCCGCCCGCCCTAGAAATATAGACTGCATTCGAACAGCTCAGAATGCCAGGGACTAGGATGGCGAAAATTAAACGCGATATCATAATGAACAAATGCACTATCTGAACTACTACTGGATTAAAAATGAAACAATTGAAAAAAAGTAAAAATGAAAATGTTGATTTGTGAATATGCCGTCACCGCTGGAATATTTAGGAATAATTTCCAGCTGGAAAGACCCTCTCATTTTATACCCTCCTATTCATACATTTTGGAATAGATCACTTGCTTTCACGGTAAACAGGAACAGTTTCAGACCGGAAGAAGGGGATCGTTCTGTTGGGTAAAGAATATCATAACGTTTTCATACATGAATTATAAATATATGAATATGAATACATACAAATATAAACAAATAAGTAAACACTTGACTAACTTGACTTTGACAGATTCATTCTCATAGTTTAATTCCATTTTGTCTACATTTTTGTTTACCGTGCTGGGATTTGTTGGTATTTATTTATTTATAGTGATTCCTCGCCCAAAGCATTGACAGATAAGGAATGATAGATAACAGTTTCATTTAGGAGGAGAGCCCCTCTACATGCCCCTCTCAGATCTCGATGCCTTTTGCATATGTAGTAGCCCTAGGTGAGTGAAGGATAACCCTAGAGTGGTTTGATGCCATGGCCACATTTGCGCCCGCCACACCCCCTCAAAGGTGTGAAAACCACAAAAACTGACAACTTCAAAAATTTGCCAAAAATCCAATTTTGCTCGGATTTTCATAAAATTTACATTTTTGTGATCCCAGATACTTGTGTGATCATATCCAGTAGCAATCTCAACCTTTTTGAAATTTCCGAAATTTTAGGACATTCCACTGCTCATGAATTATTCGAAAATTTTCAAAATTTCAAAAAAGTTGAGATTGCTACTGGATATGATCACACAAGTATCTGGGATCAGAAAAATGTAAATTTTATGAAAATCCGAGCAAAATTGGATTTTTGGTGACAGTTGAAGTACATGAAAACAGGGCTTTTTTCGTGTTTTTTACACCTTTGAGGGGGTGTGGCAGGCGCAAATGTGGCCATGGCGTCAAACCACTCTAGGGTTATCCTACATTCATCTAGGACTATCAAATATCCAAAGGGCATCGAGATCTGAGAGGGGCATGTAGAGGGTCTCTCCTCCTTAGTCAAATTGAAATAATGTTTATTCTGTTGAATCGGTTGGCATATGTGTCAATAAAGTAGACTCCAAGTTTATGTTTACCTATAAAACTAATATTTTGCGATTTTGTAGAGACATGAGACATCCATATTAATCGTTAGTATGTGCTAAAAAGGTTGTCTCATTTTGCCTCCTTCTTATATCTTTATGATGCTACGACTTGTTGTAGATGCTGTTAATAATTTTTTCTATAACGAGTTCCAAGAACTTTGCATTTTTATTTACACGAAATAATTAGTTAGCACAAAAATTGCGAGTGAGAAACGTATATAATTGTAGCTTTTTTATCTACTTTTCAGTCTGAAAATAAATAACGAATGAAAAGTCTCAATATTTGTATGCGTCATTATCTATATTTTGTAATCCAAATGTAAAATCCTCCTCCAAGCACAATCAAGGTGAGAAGCGCTCCCCCAAAGACGGAAATAGTAATGATCCCCTCCCTCGTTTCAAACCAATGTTTTGTCGGTTCTGCGGTAGAACTGGGAAATGGAGAAGGAGTGGATTTTAGCGGTGTTGTGGGTGGAGTTGTCGTCCGCGGAGTGGTCGGTGCCCGTGTCGACGTTTTGGGAGAAGTGGCGACGCTTTCTGTAGAGGAAAATTGCGAAATTAATAATATGTATATTCTATAAGTACGAGAGACTTCCGGTTGATTTGCATAATTTAATACCAACATCGCATAAAAAATAAAGGGAATTTATCTAATTTCAAATTATTCTAATTATCAACTAATTATCAAAAACAATTTTGCATAATTTTCGTACGAGCTGGAACTAGTCTTACCCGTCGTAACCCCTTCAGTAGTCGAAGCCGTAGTTGTTCCAGGCGGTCTTGTCGGCGGGGCTGGAGTCCTGGACGTTGTTATCGGCCTGCTTGTGGTTGTCGTCGTTGTGGTCGTAATTACTGTGCTTCTTACGTTCGCCCCAGTTATCACGGATACAACGGATGGAAGCTATAGGGAAAAAATTGTAAAATTCAAATTAAAACTTTAAATCGTATTAAATAAATAACTTGTAATACGGGATTAGGTCCAGAGCGTAATGTTTTAGCTTTAAGAGCAAAATATCTATCCGCGTGTTCCCCATAAGTAAAAGTAATGCTTTGGTGATTCCATGCATCTCCTGGTGGTGGAATTTCATCCGGCGGAATGAGATATTCCGCGTTGTCGAAATTGTTCAAAAGTTCAAAAAAATCATCAGACTGTTTGATACTGTAGGAGTCGACGTTTACTGCAGAATTGTGTAAATAATTAAAATAGGATGAACATAAGTAGTTTGAACGATGCAACTTGTCTATAAAATTACCCAATCCTTCCTCAGCCAAATAAACGCCAGGGACCGTCCACTCCAATAATATTTTAAAGTCATCCAGAGGAGTTGCAGAGAAATCAATCACTCTGTGAGCAATGGGCTGGAATAAAATATTTTAAAAATAGAATTCAACGGGGTCTCAAATTTTATTTATATTAGAATTACCTTGAATTTGTCGACATTTTTAAACTCAACCATCGGAAGAGTTTGGCTTACAATAAAATCTACCGTTGGTCTGATGGACGAACAACCTATTTGGTTGGTATTTGACGAGTATCAAACACATGCAATTAGAGTTGGTCTAAACTATGTAGCAATTTTAGCCCTTTAATTATTTAATTACCAAATTGCCCACATCCAAAATAAATCTGATCAACAGGAAATAGTTTGCCCACTGATGACGATATTTCTGGGTTTGACATGTTCAGAGCATTAGTTGTCGTTGGTGGTACTCTGTACTGTGCAGTGACGATAATGTTGTGTAAACCGTCAGACTTGGGGATGAAGGTCCCCGAGAAAATACCGTCATCCCTTGATAAATCAGGAACGGCAAGTCCGTCATCCGTTAGCCTAATTACGTAAACTTCCGAATTGTCCACGTGGGTGACATACGCAAATACGTCAAATCCATGGGCAGATGACATTAAAGGAAGTCTGTCTTGACTTAGCTATAAAAAATATAAGGCACATCTTGTAAGTACAAATCCTTACTTCCGGTTAGTTTAAATTTGAACCTGTGCGTATATTGCAAATGGCGTTCCTAAGTTTGAGCCGGAATTTTCAAACGTCATATCGACCACATTATTCTCAGCAGAGGTTGAAATACTAAGCTCTACTGAAGGAATTGTCGTTATGTCCACAGCCTGAGCAAAGATGTAAACCAGCATCCGACATTCCCCTTGAGTGTCATTGCAAGTATATTGGAATTGGTCCCACAATATATTCTGTAACAAGAAATTCACAATGTCATGCTATGTTTTAACGTTTTCCGATATTTAACATATTCCGTACAAACCGGATAAACTGTTGCTATACGAGAAGCGGAATAATAGACTTTGGCCACATTAGAGGTGTAGGTTGTGCCCCACTGGGCCATTTCTGCGAACATTACGTCAGGATGATTTCCATTGTTAGTCCATGTAAACCTCGGAGAGCCCGTTATCATTCCACTTAAAGGAATTACGAACGCTTCAAATAGTCTGATTCTGGAGTTAACTTTTAAATCCACTGGTTCATTTTGATTGATAATATCTCGACGAACCAGTACGTATTCTTGGTTGAATTTAATTTCACTTTGAATCTCAGTTGTCAGATTTTTCATAAATTCGCCAAGCTCCTCCATCAAATCTGTCGTTGGAGTTACAGAAAAATGAATCCCTTCTGACTTTGAAACGACACGTTCAAGCGCAATTGAAGGTTGAATGTCACTCCCTTGAATTTCTATTGCGTGTATTTTCACTTTGGATCCTAATACTTGAGTAAGCACGTCACTTTCGGGAGTTAGATCAGCTACGGATACATAATAAGTCGAATTAAGCAATTGCGATAGCAATGGCATTATTGTCTGACTATTTAAAAAATATGTATAGTTACATTACCAGTGTTTGGTTCTGTTCCTGTCTTTACCATTAGAATTACAGCTCCACTAGGATGCTTCTTTGCCGTCACAATGCGAACAGCTTCCTTGAGCCCTCCTCCAAGATCCTTAAATCCTGGTTTCCTCCCAAATGTCGTATTAAACGCACTAAACAAATGTTTATCAAAATGTGCAGCAAAGGGTAAAAAAATAACGACTGAAAGGACCACTTACACAATAAACTGATCTCGCCCATCTCTGAATGGGGTCCAAGGCACAACCTCGGTAACGAAATCATCCCCCAGATTAGGTGGATAAGTCCCGACTGCGGCCAAGACGTTTTCCAATGTATAATCTCCCACTAAATTTATCAGTGTAGATGAAATCTGCGATAATACGTCGGAAGGAACCTAGGCAATAAATATCAATTATCATTATAAAGCTAATGGAGTATTTAAATAGACATTGCTGTATATTGTTGTAGTTCAAACCGGACTAATTCCTCCATCCAGTAAAAAATAGAGTAAAGGTGATGCTGAATTTTTCACAACTTTGAAGACCACTGGACTTGGATTGTTTGGTTGAGTTGCCTGCTTCCAGTCACTAGTTTGCTGAATTATCTCCGTTATACTTTTGTATCGACAAAAAAGATTTTGAGGTGTGGGTTTCTGCTTATCATGCGTCGTGGCGTCACAAAACTTGTCAACACTTTCCAAGTAATGATAACTCATTATGGACGATTTTGCTGTTTGCTATTAAACGACATAGTTCACTCGCCATAACATTTATCTGTGTATTTAAGTATGTACCTCGCCTGAAGGTAGAAATCTGCATTGACTAACTGGTGGATATTCATCGCCTGGCGTGGGAGAACAGTCGCTGTCATCCTCACTGCATTAAGCACAATTTACGTTGTTTTTCGATAAGCTAAGATATTACGTTCGGTTTCTTACATATTTTTAAAATCTCCGGAAATCGGAGCATCAGTGCAAGAATTTACTTCCCAATCACTTCCCGTCAGAGTTTTGTGGAAATATGGAAATTTCACATCTCCAGGAAAGCCGTGCTCTTCCCTGCAAAACGGTTTAATACATATTTTGTGTTCAAAATTATTCAACAATTATTTAAAAGTCTAAAAGCGTAAACGGAATTACCAAACTCCAAATCGTAATCGGGCAAACTGTGTCAGCAGAGCTTTCCCAATATCTCCAAATGTTGAGTTTTGAGGATCATCAAAGAAATTGTAAGGCAAGAGAATTGCAGATCCTGGTCGTCCACATGGATTTGGGTTATCTGCAGATGGTACAGGGTGTACGTGTGAAATTTTTACATCGGCTGCTTGATAGTATTGTCTGGAATTAATTAATTATCGATTTCAAATTCATTTCGAAATAACCAAAACATCATTCACCCACGTTGTCGCAGCGCTGTCGTGAGCTGTATCCCAATGGCTCGGAACAACAATGTCCACGTCTTGAATAGAAAATTTGGAGTCTGTCGACGAATACAGTGCTTCTGATAAAGCTTGAATTCCGATCTGTACATTAACCAAAATTAAGCAAGATACTGTAAATTAAAGAACTCAAAATTGTGCTGTTTGCGTATGTACGTATTATGTAAATACTTTGATATTCTCGACGTATCCAGTTATTGTATTTTGTGCAGTTTTTTCGTCAATTGCTACCACTAATTTATAAGATCCGGTACTATCTAAGGAAATACTTTTAACGAATGCAGGTAAAAGAACAATGGAAATCCAATATACTTGTAACTTTTTAAAATTCACCATTTTGTGATATTTTTATTATACTTTATACAGCCAGTAGATAATTAGTTGTATTATGGTAATACTAAACAGAGCCTATGTACGTAAATACGTATGTATTTCCAATTTCATTATCAGAACTTATCCTGTTATCGGTAATCAGTTATAAATCGATATACGTATTGATATCAGGCTGACATTCAGATATTCAGGAAAGTGCGAAACTATGCATGTTGACGAACTGCATAGATATCGGACTGACGCATTTCATGGGCTACAGTCATTCAGTATCAAGAATTTTAATTTGCGTTATGGCAAAATTACGTTGTGATATATTGCTGGTTGATGTCATGATTTTTAGGTGTTATTTATGGAGACTAAACGTCAACAAATCTTGCAATACTTCAAATTGATGCTGGTATGAAAAAATTCACAAAAGTTCATAAAATTTGCGATACTTAACAAAACGATTTATTTATGTAGTTTATTAAAATTAATCGATTATCTATATTTTGTAATCCATATGTAAAATCCTCCTCCAAGAACTGATAGCGTAAGAACTGTTCCGCCAAAAACAGATAAGGTGATTATCCCCTCCGTTGTCTCAAACCAGTGTTTTATGGGGTCATCCGTTGCCGGAGGCGGAACAGTAGTTGTGGGCTTTGGAGTTGTTGTCGTGGAGGGTGGGGGCCTTGTAGTTGTCGAACGCGCCTTAGTCGTTCTTGGAGTCGTAATGATTGCTAAAGCAATGAGGTTATACACGTTAATTTAGTAAAATAATTACATTTATAAACTTATATTTTTCATACTCGTAATCTCGGCCTCCGTCGTTGTGGGACCGGCTGAGGTCGTTCGTGGTGGTAGCGTTGTTCTGGTCGTGGGGCTAATTGTTGTTGTAGTTGTCGTAGTTGTGCTTGCATCTAACGTAGTCTTAATATTCACACCCACAATGACCGACAGTTGTGACCACTGTAAGTTTTATCAGACAAATATGTAAATATTTACGTTTCATGAAGCATGCCAAAAAATTTCCGTAATTGCCATAAGTATCTGAGTTCTTACTACTTCGATGCCGGAGGACGTGACTATAGTTCTTATTGCGTAATATCTACTCGCTTCCCTACCAAAATCATAAGTAACACTTTGTAGGGTCCCAGGTGGTTGAGTATTCGGCAACTTATTTGCCGGTAGGTTTTCAGCGTGGTCGAAATCGAACAGCAGCTTATCAATCTCATCTTGATGTCGAATTTCATAAAAATCTACTTGGTCTATTTTCAAACAGTTCACCGGTCACTGACTGATTTACGAATGCTTAACTTGTATTGTGAGTCGCCAATACCTGGATTACCCCTTGGGTCTCTAACTCTCGGATCGGTCCATTGTAGATTGACTTGGTTGTTCTCAAGTGGAGTTATCACCAAATCCTGTATATTTCATTATTGTTATCGAGTGACGACTAATAATTAGTAATTTTTATGGATTCGTGTTGGTTAAAATATTAGTTCCATACCACTATTCTTGTTCCGATCGCCTATAATAAATAAATCTGATTGTCTTACACCAATACAGTACTACATTGCCCTCTCGGATTAATACATAAATGATTAATTTTACATATCCATACCTGAAACAATTGGTAATTGACAAACTCTACGTTCTTCTCAAGGTTGGAGCTAACGAAAAAATTTTCTTCTGCAATTTTACTCCAACAGCCTTGAAATTTCGAAACCCCTTTCAGTTACTGCAAATTACTAGTTCATGTTGTATCTTAAATAATAATTAAGTACCCAGATAACCACTCCCACACCCAATGTGTCCTTGATCAACTGGAAACAATCTCCCAATTGGTGAAAATGATGCAAAGTTTTGAGTTTCGTTTTTGCCGTCCATAATTTTAGTGGGTACAGTTGGCTCAACAAACTTTTCATATTTTGCAATCACAAAGATTTCGTACATCCCATCAAATTCCACCATGTCGTCAGTAACTTCTGGGACAAATTCCCCTGAGAATATACCGTCGTTTGTGGTTATGTCCGGTGACGCACTTCCATCGTCTTTAAGTTGTACAGACCACGCGTGCTTTCCTGGCGCAGTGGGACAAGATATCACGGCAGTCACGTTAAGACCTAAAGTTGCCTGGAACGGAATTCCGTCTTGATCCAACTAACAGAATACATGAATTGAAACTACATGTGACAAAGAAGTATTAAAAAACTTAATACTTTTGCATAAATGGCAAAAGCTGAGCCGGTGTATGACCCAGCGTTCGCATCTCTAAAGTCGACAATGCCATTGATTGCGGACGTTGTAACGGTGAGCTTGATATCTTTCGGGATTAAGTCCAAGTCTTCCACTTGCAGTAACACAGTAACTCGAGCTATGCAAATGCAAACACTATCGCATCCAAGGGACAAACGTGACCAGCGTACACTCTATAAATCATTGTTGAGAAATTAACCCTTGTGCAAATATATAATTTCCTTTTTCATTGACGATCTTACATCCAATGGTTCTTCCCCTTCGGGAGATGAAAAGTAAAAGCTTTTCCGAGAATCTGTAGCAGTTTCTGCGGAGTCCCACGTCATCTCTTGTAACGTAATATCAATGTAATCTCCATCAGTCCCACCCCACAGCTTTGGGCTAGCAAACCCTCCTGACAATGGTATTGCGAATAGTTCGAACTGTGTTATTCGAGAAGTCGATTTGAACCCCACTGCCTCATTGCAAAAAATCATTTCATCCATTCCAACTATATATTTTTTACTTCGAGTAAACGGGGTTTGCAGGGTGGTTGTCAAGTCAGTCAAAAAATCGTCAAAGGGTTGACCAAGATCTGATGGCTCCGAAATCGTCAAGTGCAACCCTTCCGACTTTTCGACAACTCGCTCGAGCGCGTTTCCTGCCTGGATTGGACTTCCGCGTACTTCCACGGCAAATATTTTCACGTTGGAGAGTAAGAGAGGAACCATCACTTGACTTTCCAAAGTTAGACTTCCTATGACACGGAGTATAAAAAATATATTTTACCAGGAGCACTTAACGAGCAAGGTTGGTACTCAGACTGTCATGAAGTTTTTAAAAAATATGAAAACATAAAACAATAATTATCTACCTGTATTAGGTTCAGGACTCAGTTTGACAATTAAAATCGCAGCCCCAGATGTATGTTTTCGCTGGTTAAATGAAACCAGTAGCTCACGCAATGCTCCAGCGTAGTCTTTAAACCCAGCCTGATTACCAAACGTTGTGTGAAATGCTCTAAAATTGAAGATTTTTTAAGCTAATCACTTTTCAAACTTTTAATTTGTACGGACTTACGTTACAAATTCCTGAGTAACATTCCTAATTGGAGTCCAAGGTATAACCTCCGTAAAACTTTGAGTGGGATCCTCGGATGGAAATTTTCCAAGCCCAGCAACAATACTGCGCATTTCGCGAGATTCGATAAAAGTTGAAAGGCGAGAAGAAATTTGCGGAAGGATTTGGGCTGGTGCCTGTTTACATTATTTTCAGCATTGCATAAAAATAATAATTGGTAAAATAGCCCCATACTAATTAAATTATGTATGTACGTGCGTAAATCCAGCATCCAAAAGGATGTAGAGCATGGGTTTTGGAGACTTTTTGACCACCGTGAAGTTGACACGACCTGCCGTATTTTGTTCTGTCACCATTTTCCAATCTGGTGTAGTCTCCATAACCTCCATCACACTTTTATAGCGACAATAGTAATTTTGTGGGGTGGGTTTAGCCCGATCGTGAGTCTCAAAGTTACAGAAGGCTTCAAATGTGGGTAAATGGTGGTAACTCATCAGAGATGATTTTGCCGTCTAGAAAAATTATTACAATTTTCTTGTCAGAAGAAAATATTTACATTATCGAGAGTAAGTCTGATACCTGAGCTGCATTTGGGAAAAATCGACAATCGCTTGGTGGTGGGTATAAATTATCAACATCGTCAGGATCTGGCCCACACGGAGTCTCGTCATATCTTAATAAACACAATGGAAAGAACTACTAGAATGTTTATATACCGATTTAACATAACTGTGTGGTAATTATTTACATGTTTTTGTAAATTCCTTCAATTGGTGCATCTGTACAAGTGTTAACTTCCCATTCTGTTCCAAGTAACCGTTTCCAGTAATAAGGAAATTTAGCATCTCCAGGAAAGCCATGTTCCTCCCTAAGAAGTGTGTAGTTTATTTGTTAATTTTGTGTTTTTACCAAGAAATACCACTTTTAAGGAAATTACCAAACGCCAAATCGAAGTCGAGCAAATTGTGCAAGTAACGCTTTCCCCAAACGCCCATATCTTCCTGAATCTCCAAAGTCAAAAAAGCTATATGGAAGCTGCATATCACGACCCGAAAATCCGCTGATAATATAATTCTTGATGAAATACTTGATATAAATATCGTAAATGTGTAACATTGAAATGTTGATTTATTATCTCACCAAGCGTTCGGATTGTCCACGAAGGGAAGAGCAAAAGTGTGTGAAATTTTTAAATCTGCGGCTTCATAAAACTGACTGAAATTTTAAAAGTATTTTCAAGGAGGTTTTAAAGATTGTCAAAAAAGTTTGAATTTACAATGTGGAAGGCCCATCAATCTCTACATCCCAGTGATCAGGTACTAAAATGTCGACATTTTGTATAGAAAACCTTCCATTGGTTGTATAGTGAAGCAGATCAGACAAGTCTTGGATTCCCATCTTTTGAAGTTGTATTAATTTTCAAATTTTATTTTATGGACTCCTGAAATTTCGATATCATTTCACATAATATATTCATTACCTTTATAATATCCGTGTAGTTTTCCACATCGTTCTGCACAGTTCTTTCGTCGATTGCAACAACAATATTTTTGTAATAACCAAATTCATCCAAGCTTAATTCGTCCGAATTGATGATATATTTGAGTAAAATTGTTAAAATAATGTTGTAAAATGATTTGTGTATTAATTTCATTTTGCACAGAATTAAAAACAAGAGCTTCTAATGTTTTTTAATCAGTATGTACATATGTAGATCTCACTTTTCCTTCAATAATATTTGTAAATTTATCACAATTTTTAACTTTTAGATGCCTGTGTATTTTTTTCTAGTAATCAATTGACGTTAATACTGCAATAGGTACACACACAATACGATTAAACAACTGGCTTATACGTATATCGAAACTGTAATCATATTGCTATCAATTATTATGAATTATCGATGTATGTATGTAGCTATATGAGACGCACGCATCTGCATAGGCAACATTTATCGATCAGTTTGTTATCTGAAATCTGTTATCAGTATGAGATTATGCGAATATTTCCAAAACACGTCATTTTGCTCTCATCCGGTATATTAGTATGACCGGGTCTTCTTTGTAGATTAATTATCATAAATAAGTGAATAAATATTTATTGCATGTGAACAAGTGTTAAATATGTATAAAGAAGTATTATTACGAGAAAACGGTAAAATTTGTACAGTTCTGGAGCCAGGATAGTTAGTTATCCCCCCGAAATTCTACGACTTCCCGATTTTCTCCTTCGGATATATAGGCACACTCCAGCAATTAGAATCACCGCTGCAACAATTCCCACTATCGTCCCGATTCCGGCCCCAGTTTCCACCCAGGGTTTTTTAGTCGTTGTACCGACTGCTGGTGTTGTCGATGAGCTAGGCGTGTTATTGGGTGTGGTGGTTGTTGTGCTAGCAGTGATTGTGATTGCGGTGGAATCAGTGGTGGGAGGTGTTCCCGTGAAAGGTGTGGTGGTTGTGGTTTCTGGAATTATTGAGGTTCAGGGATCATTAAAAGTACGAAATAAAAATGTAACATGTAAACAGGAAATGACGAATGATGATTGATTGTAAAAATGTATGTATGTAAGTATGAACTTGACGTAAATGTTTATTGATTCCCCATCATGATTTGTCTACCACGCATAATTGATTTACATACATTTCTCGTTTAATAAAATTTGATGAAAATTGTGACAACTATTCCGATTAGGGAGACAATCACGGAGGATTGAACAGTTGGGGAGGAGTTTGGTGGGGACGTTGTGGGGGGACTTGTGGGAGCTGTAGGCGAGGTTTGTGGGCTTGGCGCTGGGGTGGTATTTGGGTTCGGAGTGGTCGAGACTGTTGGCGCAGTGGGGTCAATGGTGGTGGTGGTTGTACTACCTGGGTTTCCAGTAGTAGTGGTGGGGGCAGTCCCTGCGGACGTAGGTGGGGTTGTGGGGCCTGTGGGAGTGGATCCTGTTGGTGGGACGGTGGAGTCTGTGGGTTCAGGAGCTGGTATTCCAGGGAATCTTCGAATATTGGAAATCTCGCTCTAACAAGTTTTTAAAGAATATGTAAATTATGACAGGCTAAAAAATTATTTCATGATAATTTGTAAAGTCGTCACCTTTACTCCATTGTACGTAGACTTTATAGCATAGTATGTGGAATAGAGGGTAATATTATGCTGGGTACTCTGCCACTCTCCTGGTGCCACGGGGACCGCTGTCGCAGCGATTTCACATCCATCAAAGTTGTTCAGGAGCTCGAGTCGAGAAAAGGCCTGGCGAATTTCGTAGCTAGTAACTGTTTGAATAATAATAAAAAATTTGAAAATATGAATTGTGCACGTATGTAAATTGTCTCAAGCTTTTAACCTGGACTGGTAGTGGAAGGTACGCGTGGTGACCTCCAAGATAAAGTTCGAGTGATGAAATTGTACAATAAAATTGCTTTCCCAGGAATGGCCTATTTATTAAAAAACCCAGTCAAAAATGAACATTTTAATATTAAATCTTATCCTTACTGTGTATTGATTCCTATTCGAAAATTTAATTGGGGTCGAATATTCCTCAACTTGCATAAATCCATTATACACGTCTTTTAGTGTACAATTGTTAGTAATTTCGCACCCAGCACCAGGACCTTGATCGATTGGGAGGAGACGTCCCAAGCTACTTTCTTTGATAAAAGTTGCAACTTTTCTAGTCGTCGTCCTTTTCATGAATCGAACTGTAATCCTGTAATCGCCATCGGCTGTAGGCACGAAATATCCGGAAAATATTCCGTCCTCACTTAAAATGTCAGGAATGCTTCCGTCGTCGTTTAGGACTAGTTCATAACTTGTTGCTCCGTTAGTGATTAATGCATCAGCATACATTCCTTCGATGGGAGCACCGTCAATTGTGGCCTAAAAAGTTGACATTTTTGGATCTTTAGACATCTTGACACACCACTAAAGATTCGAATGACTATTACCTTTGCGTAGATCATCAGTGGAGCCAGTCTGCTAAGGTCAACAGTGTTGGCAGAAGTTGTGATTTCAATTTTAACACCAAGGTCTGGTACAGCCTTGTCAAGTGCGACACGTCCGACCATCGCTCCGTCACAATTTTGGAGTCCAGTACAATTCAGTGAAACGATAACGCTACTTCTGCCCGCCTAAGGTGCATTATAAATTAAATTAGTGAGATGCATTGGTAACATTTTAGCATGAAATTTGTATGTAGTTTCTAACAATTTGCGCGTCCGAGAATCTTAAACGATACGAATATCTGGAGTTTCCTTCTCCTGCACCCCAGTCAACAGTTCTTCGGAAGCTTACTGACGTCGTTGGTGGAGCTCCATCAATTTGCGAGATGAAATTTGTTGCATTCAATCTTTCAAAACTGGAGTAAAACACTTCCGCGTGAAGAGAGTCTGGAGGAAGGACAAGTTGGATGCCAGGGCTGGATGAAGAGATCGCTTGTTTGACAACCTTTTGATAACAGCACAATAATAATCATTTTTATGTATATTTACTCAATTATGCCAAGTTTCTGGTGCATTTGATAGTATTACCGTTCTCCTTGTCGCCTGGTCACTTATGTAATCAGCAGAGTTCAAGGTACGGGCTAGGAAATTTAGGACGTTGTTCAGTACGAAGTTAGCATCACCGATATTTGTGAGCATGGCAAAACCCCCCGTGGTTTCTTCGGTTAGTCGGGCTAAATTTGATGCTGGAGGACTGCCGGTGATCTGAAGTTCGATCGAATGCAAAATGATTTTCTGGTCATTCAATGCAAGTACGACATCATTTTCTGGAATTGTTGCGTCTGGTGAAATAGCAGAAAAAAATTGTGGTAAGTAATTAGCATAGAGAAAAATGGTACATATTACTTAATATGTAATTAATTACTAATATTATCCAAATCAGCTCCATATTTTACAAGTAGTATGACTGCCCCTTGAGCATGACCTCTCGACTTGATGAATCCCGCAGTTTCCATAATTGCTTGGGTGAAATCACGTCGAAGAGGACCGTCAATTCTCAACTCACCTACCGCTCTAAGGACAAGAAGCCGTATATCAACCCACATTGTGTGATTAATAATCACTGATTACAAATAAATCATAAATATTTCACAAACTGGAGGAATTGGTCCACATTAGGTCCAATTTGGGACCATCCAACTTCCTGTTTTAATTGAACCGCAGGATTGTCGGGATTAGGGAAACTTCCCACGGCACCGACAACATTTGCAAAATTATTAACTAGAAATTGGGCCAAGGCTGGAGGAATCATGTTTGCCAATTGGTAAGAGCCCTACGCACAATTTGGAAATTAATTTAATTCCATGTACGTAATCACATCATCAATTTCAAACCTGAATTTGACCCCTGTCCAGTAAAATGTACAAAAGTGGGTTTGCTGATTGTTTCACAGTTTTAAAAGTGACCGGACCCACTTGCGTCGGTGGGTTTGAAGCGGTGGCATAATCCGGGCTTTCTCTTATCACTTGCATTATGCTAATTTACAATATTACGTAAAATATTTTGAAATATGCTGAGATTTAAAATATTTTACTTTTTTCGACCTCATACCTTTTTTGGTTACAGAATGCATTCTGCTTATTATCAGCCATCTTATTGTGAGTATTTTCATCGCAAAAATCAACGACAGAGTTCATAAAGTGGAAATGCATGAGAGAAGTTGTCGCCTTATTTACCACGCTGTCTGGGATGAAGCGACAAGCGTTCATCTCACTGTTTGGACTTGCAGCCATTTCACAATCCTTTTGATCTGGATCAGTCCTGAAATTCGTGACGAATAAATTAAATCCAATTGTGATACGAAATAATTAAATCATTGATAAAAAAAATTCATACACATTGATAAACTTCCCAACAAGTGGTTCATTATTGCATCCCGTCGCCTCCCAAGTGGTCGAGTCTTCATTTAGGGAAAAGTATGGAAACAGCTCATCACCAATAAATCCGTGCTCTATGTAATTAATTGGGATTATGCAATAACAAGTACGTCATTCTGATTGTTCATTAAATATTAAATAGGTACGAACCTTCCCATACACCATATCTGTATCTGGCAAAAAGTACCATGAGGGTTTTCCCTAAATAATGCAAAGTAATTGGTACATTCACATTTTAGATCAGAGCTTATATCTCAGCTTACAAATAGGTCCGAATTCGTTAGCGTTAGTATTTTGAAAGAAGGTAAATGGCAGTTCGACATAGTCCCCGGGGAGGCCACAAAGATACGTGTTTTTCGCGTAGGGGTACAAAACGGTGTCCGACACTCGGAAATCTGCCGTGTCGATGCTTCCCCTGAAAAAAATGAGATATGAATATCATTATAATAAGTGATTACCTGGGTCCATTCTGATATTATGCATTACATTCCAGCCAATTCAGCACCAGGAATTGCTGTCCAAGTCTCTGGTACGATTAGCTCAACCGAGTTGATGTGAAACCTCCGCTTGGTAGCTCTCCACAAATTGTTGGAGAATGCTTGCATAGAAGTCTGTAAAATATTAAGCAAAACTTTGGCAATGTTTTTACTAATGTAATATTTCTAATCAATCCCTTCTTTTCAAGACTAACTAGTTAATGATAATTTATCTAATTAATTGAACTGTATTATGTGTTACTGCAAAAATTAGTGCTAAAAATTGTGAGCAAAAAAGATTTGCCGAAACCCGGGATTGAACCAGGGACCTTTAGATCTTCAGTCTAACGCTCTCCCAACTGAGCTATTTCGGCAGCCAGTTGAAAGCACTTTCCTCTTATTCCGTTTTAACGGGGGCGAATTACATGATAAGTAAATCTCAATGTCTATTAAATGGTTTATGTGCTTCATGAAAATAAAAAGATTGGATCGACGTCGAAATGGAGCATGTCACTCCATATTTGCATGAAAAGTATTTATAGTTATAGCTAATCATTGATAAGTTAGTTAATGATTTCATTAACCTGGTTTAATAATTTTGACAAACCGAACATATTTAACTAATTAATGCAACCTTATCGTTAATGAATTTTATCATGCATTTAATTTTATGAACGTCGTAATGATAACATAATAAGTGTAGTGATCAATGCATGAAATGCAATGGGTTTTTGAATTTCAAGATGCATATTGAAATGTTATATGCAAAATATCTTCAAATATGCTACAATGCTACGAATAATTTCATTTTGTATAAATCCAGCAGTTTCAAATTGATTCCAATGCCTGCGTTGTTCAACTTCTTGCATAATAATTTCAGAATGAATTGCATGAGTAAGTAATTAATATGCTACTTGGTTAATGGTTTTACTATGTCTAAATAAGTAAATTATTGTCGATAATTCATGAAATAACCAACTGAAATTAGAATTGACATGATTTTGAGTTTGTCGATTATGCTTTGCTTGATGAAGAATATGTAACTGTATGTTTACTCGAAAACTTTCAAGATAATAAATAATTATCAATCAATCAATACGTCCTCTGACCTGACGGCGTTTCAGACAATACAAATTTCTGAAATATTCACGTCAAATCTTACCTTAATATTTTGTACATATCTCCTTTGGTCATTTTCTGGTGGCACTGGCGCTGCTGTATTGACCCCGAGTACCAAGTCGTATCCGCCTTGGCGACTTAATCTGAAGCCCTCATTAACAGCAACAAAAGTTAGCACAACTCCCAAAATTTGCGAAAATCTAAAAATCGCCATTGTCTACAAAATCCGAATAAATCCTACAATGCGTTTTAACAAATCCAGAGACGCTGCAACAATACTGTTCCAACAGCAGGAAGGTCTGGAAAGAATGTGCAATTTTTTCCAGATATTACAATTCAACATTGGTTATGCCTCATCTTTCTCAATATTTCGCCTTATCAGACACCCTTATCGAAATTGAGAATTTATTGCTTAACCATAAACCTACCTGTGGCGTGTGAAAGTTAGTCATCAAAATGATTATAAGAGTGCAAGGTTATCTACTTTTGCAGGGATTTGGAGAAAAAATGTATCCATAAATCTCGGTTGTACATACGGTGGTCAGTCAAAAAAAGATGGAGGAGGATAATCAATGATCAATGGTTCCAGGGATTTGTAATTGTGTTTTGTATCTAAATCTGTACGGATTATAAGACAATCTGTGATGTTCTTATCATCGGTAATACATATTCTAAGTAGAAATCGTTGGGATACTTTGATTCATGATCTCATGATGAGATTCTCATCGCTAATAAAAATGAATCACGGGCAAGTATATGACGAAATATATACATACCTGCGTGCTTCTGACCTGTAATTTAAGCATATTTAAATCGAATCATTACACATAAATGACAAAGTTTAAAATGCTGTTCACTTTAAATTGATTACATTTCTGAACAAAAAATTTAATGCGAGCACGGAAAAAGCAATTGCATCTTTTTATATGCAAATATTTAGTGTCATTACGAACCAAGTATTAATTTAAGGGTGGCTTCCTTGAGAAAACATGCATGCAGTCTTAATCAGCAGGTATGCTGCATATCTCAAATAATGCGGTGAAAGTTTAATAGAAAACAGAACATTTCGCTGACGTTTTAAAAGTTGTCGTCGAAATAATAATATGCAGACCACCAACCAAGACACAAAGTGCAGTTTACTCGCTATATGAATTTTATTGTGATCGTTCCATCCATGCCAAAAAACTCGACAGAATGCATGCCTGCCTAAAAGGTAGCATTTTCTTGGACCATTTTTTGTCACATTGCTAAAGTGGAGCAATCTCATGCAAGCATTCTGAATGAATGCAAATTTGAAATTAAAATGGTCAAAAAGAACAAAGGAAAATTTTTGCATTATTAGCATTATTGTACAACGGACACAAATATAGGAGATATTTAGATAGTAGCCAGATAGATATTTTGTAAACGGAAGTTATTACGTGTTGAGAGCTGCAACAAGTTTGCAGTTTTTTTATCTATGCAACTACTCACAGAAGCTGTTTTAAAACGTGAATTAATGTTATTGCTATATATGTATGTACAAGTCGTTCATTTTTTGCGTATCATACGCAAGATCTAAATATTGCCAGAGTTTTGCAATTCAAATAGGATTTGAAAAAGCTGAAGTTTATGATGGACTGTATGAGGCGATGAATGCCCTTACACGGCAATTAAGTAAACTTGTTTGAAACATGAGAACGTATCAAAATTAATGACAGATCGGAAGTTGATTTATTATTATGGATGAAAAGGTGGTGCTCAAATTAAATTTGCATTAGTTGCCAGTGGTGGTGTTACTGACTGTCAGTTACTTACTTAGCATGTTTATTCTCACGGGTTTGAAAGTGATGCAAATTCTTGATGGCTACGCAGAATAATCTTTTTTAAAGTGTTGCATAATCCTGTAAAAAATGTAACCCAGTAAAACAAATTCCATCATTGTGGCATTGAGTCAGCTAAAAAATCTCATTTTTGATGAGATTTTACGTCTTGTTGGCAATGTCACTGACATGAACGCGTTTTAACCACACATTTGGTTAAGTATTATAATTTAATGTGGTTCAACTCGTGGTTTTGTGTTTTGCTTGCATTTTCATAAAAATCAGGTCATTTATTCCAGTATTTATGTATACATCTTTATTTTAATGTATTTAGCACCATGTAAAAGTATTATAAAAATATATATAAAAATATGTTAAACTATGTATAGTTGCATATTCACTTAACATATTTATTAGAATTTAGTATGGCAAATGACTTTAATTCAACAGTCACTGGTAAAATGTACGAACAAAACATTGCACGCTATAAGAGTTTGATCAAGTGAAACACAGTTATTAAACAGATTGCCGAGATATTATTTGATGATGAATATTTAAGAAAGTCAGTCTACCTGACGATAAACCAGCCTCTCGTCGTCATTTTCCTGAGAACGTGGTTGGAAAATCGTCCCCGACAGACCAATCAAATACAAAACATTCGTATAAATCGTGCATTTCATTAACAACAATTTGAGCATGACAAAGCGTCAATAATCATGATTCTCGAAAAATTGAGCAGCAGAGTCAAGTCAAGTTCTCAATTTAAAGTGTATGCTGTTTTTATACTTTTAACTCCTCATATTTCTGCCAGGAAGACCTAACATTTTCACGGCGGATCGCATTGTTTGCGCTTGTTTTCTAATTCCCAAGTATTACAAAAAATAGGAGGAGGATGCACGCACTGGTTTCAACGAAGAGTTCTCAGCCAAAATGGCATCTGCTACGTCTGTCGGATGATTATAGAGCAAAATAAGAACCATCCTGAAAATAATTAAGTAGTTATCATAATGTCACACACCACTTTTGATAATTTGTTAATATCTGAAAACCACCCAAAATCACGCACTCTTCCCTCCCACCGTTTTCTCAATTATTCACGACACGAATTTAAATATGTATGAAATTTCTGGTACTAGTACAAAGCTAAAGTGAGTTATTATTTATTTCGTTAAATTTGAGGATGCATGCATGCGCTGCTCTTGCGGATTTATCGAGTCAGGATAAATCAGGATAAATCAGGTTCAAGAGAAACTAAATGGGCATAAAGAAGACGCACACCTTTGCTGTTTTAAGTTATTGCAAAACATTAAGAAGTTTAAGAAAACATTTTTATTATCGTCGATATCGAATCGGTCTTCCTTCTGTTTTTTACAATGCACTATTTATCCGCGGCTGTCAACTAACTATGTATAGCACTACATACGTCATACGTACTAGAGATAGATACACCTCATCTCTCTGTTCTGTTCTGGTATAGATTAGCCAACTAAATCGCAATAAACTTTCTTTCTGTCATATATTGACCAATACCATTGTGAGGAACTGTATCTTGCATTTTGCGATCTGACTCGGTCTAATTCATCAATCCACATTGCCCTTATTTAAAATTATTGTGTTAATTTTTATAAAAATAAATTTTAAAATTTTATAAATTTTTGCAATTCTGACAATAATGAGACAAATTTTGCAATTGCGTCTCCATTGTAACACCAACTGCATACTTTATTTAATCCTTTTTAAGTGTAGTTGGTAACGATTTACTTAAGTCCTACCTACGCATATCCTGCCAATAGATCTTGACGCTGGTGAGTGAACAGCATCAATAAAAAGCACACTGACTTCTTTAATTTTAAACTGCATGCTAACGGAGATGGCAATAAAAATAGATTGAATTGAATTTAGAACGGTGTGGCTTTGCTGTTGGTCAGCAGCAGTATTAACACAGGACATGCCGTACATACAAATATAGGAAATGGTTTAGTTTCCCTTTCTTCCATTGTCGAAAACCATGCAAATGTCGGCAGTTGTATTTTATAAGACACACACCACCGCAAATTATGCAATTTTGCTCCGTATCAAAACATGACACGGTAAATTAGACCCCTGTCTTCACTACTACCAGCTAAATATGCAGTACTATTTATTTACTACTTTACTACTCCCTCACAAACAGACATTGTTACAACTTTGCGTGTACTTATCTTTGATATTACACATATTGCATTATTATGTACGCATCACCCATCGCCAACATAAAACATAAAGTGGTAATCCTAGTTTAAAAAAATATTAACCATAAAGTTATGAAATACTTAACAAAGATTAAGTGTATAAGAAACATAAAAAATTATATGAACAGTCTTTAGTTTCTTCGTCTTCTTCTTCTTCCTTCGCTGCGTGCGTGTGTGGATCAAGTACCTTTTCTTACGTGTTATAATCTCTGATTGTAGAACCAGTCGGGATGATTTTGTGGAGGATAAAGGGGCATTTTGGGACGTCGCATGAAATTATGGAAGAAATTATGGGGGGGTCGTCTCGGGGGTTCGCCGTAATGGTGGTGATGTTCGTTATGATTTGGAGGACCGGATGGAGGAGGGTGTCGATAAATGATGTGGATGGGTTCTTTAAGTTTGGTGAATTTTATTGGTTTCGATGTATGAAATTGGGCCAAAATTGGGATGGCGACTGGAGCCGAGTGCTCTTCTGGCTTTGGGTGGTGTTGATGGTGAGAGAATATTTTGTAAGGGTCGAACCGATATGGATTTATTGGCTCCGGATTTTCGTGATGGTGATGATGATGAATTTGATGGACTTGGTGATGATTATGATGATTATCCGGTTTCTTTGGCACATTATCGTAAGAAATTCCCGTACTGGGGACGAAGCCGCCTTCTTCCACGATTCCGAGGGGAGGGTGCGGCTGATGGTTGGGTGGACCGTAGCTGTTACTTGTTGCACCGTGATGTTTAGTCGGTGGAGGTGGCGACGGTTCGAAAGTGGTTTCCGGAATGTTCAGAACTTGTGAATATTGGACGGGATGGTAGTGAATAAAAGTTTTGGGCTCTTCGGCAGGACGATGTTTATTGTTGTCGGGATAATTTCCATGTATTTGGACATTCACTTGAGGTGGAGCACCGTAATGATGGTTTAGATTTTGAAGACCTTTTTCGCCAGATTGGAACTCATAGCTGGGTGGTGGTTTCGACGGTGGGGGGTTGTACTGATCTTGATGATCCCCACCAAATCCAGTAAAGCCAAAGTCGTTTCCTCCCCCACCAGTACCACCACCGTTATTATGTTCATCGTCATGATGATGATGTACCAATTCGTTCCCGAACGATACATCTTTGACACCACCACCACCACCACCCCCAAAATCTCCACCACTAGCAGAACTACCCCCACTATTTGCCCCTCCGACGGCAAATCCAGTATGATACCGTCCAAGCCTTCCTCCATCCAGCATGTCAAAATATTGGGAATGGGCCGGGGGGAGATTTCCATTTGGAACATCTTTAGATTTCGTGCCATCAGCCCACCTTCCAGGATGAGGAAATCCGTGAATCTGGGAATACGTATTTCCCGTCAAAGGCCGATGATGCGGAATATCTTCTCGAAACAGTTGTCGTTTTAATCTTAATGAATTTAGTGCGTCAAAAAATCTTTGGCCAAAATCCAACTGTGTCGAAGATTGACTGCGATTATGGTAGATCTGGGATTGTTGAGACTGCTGGGTTAACAAGACCAGGACCAATGAAACCTGGGAAAATATATTATATTGCAACAAGAGTGCCACTATCATCATCATTACGCATCATTAATCTCTCAAAATGGTGCTTGCAATTTTCAAATTAAATTTTATATGGGAATATTTGCTTGATTACTTACTACAAAAATGGTATGACTATATTTTAAATGCATTTTCGTCGATAAGTTGCCCAACGACATGATGATGACTCCAGTAGTAAGTAGAGAATTATTTAATTGTTTACAGTAATTAATTATTCGTAAATAAAATCAGGCGAAGAGAAACGTAAATTTTTATATAGATGCATAGATCGATAAACTTAATAAATAAACACACTTTCACATCATGTTCCTTAAAAGTGTAGTTTCCGGTAGAGTTTTGTCCACCAGAAATTTACACATTAACTACTTAACTAATCACCATCACCACATTTGTCAGTCATGTACATACGAAACTGTCGAGTCACTTGTAAAAACATGCACTTTTTAAGTTTTTATATAGATTTTAAACAATTTCTTGAGATTATATAAATATTTGCAATTCAGGAACGTATGGTACCTCAGTACCCCACTAACCAATTTTCACTTTCAAACTACTAATTCCGGACACTTTCATAATGACATAATAACCGTGTTCGTTTTAAGATGGTTGGTTCTGATATAACACAAATCGCAGACTTAACTTTACCGTTGAATGTCCACCAGTCGACTGAGACGAGTGAGACGACTTTCCTCAATCAAGTTAAGGTTAGCTAAAGACCACAATAGCAAGCAACATGCAGTGTAATATTACTGCAGAATTGTATATGTGTAATATAATAAAAAGTACGAATAAATGCAATGCATAGCTTCTTGCATGTACCTTTCGATACCTTCATACTCCTCGATGAATTGTGTATCGTCGCAGCGTATCATAAATGATAAGCACCTACCTGGCTGCTATACGTAACACAATTTTATTACTTATAGTCGGCCTTATTCTAGAGAATATCTAGAATTAGAATTTATGAGACTTTTCAACCACCACTACTAAACTTGGTACCTCACTCAATCCATAAAGATGGATATGCACAATAATCCTGTCTCGTCAGTAATATTACTATTATTAAATTCTTGTACAATAAAAATATCCCAATCAATCACAAATGACCAAAAATCACAAATCATTACTTACAAGAATACAAAAAGTGACACTGTTTTAGTGGAAAAATCGTCTTATTATTACGGATTTTATTATTGCCACAGATTAATTTTATTGGTTGTGGTTAAAAAGTAAGAGTCAAACATGGAATGAATTAGATCAAGCATGTGTTGATAATTTAATCGTAAATCTAGCAATAAAAAATATCTGAGTTGTATAAGTTTTTTCCAAATCTATGTACGACGAAAACGTGTTTAGGAAAATAAGTAAACAAAAATTTGTGTAAGTATGTACAAACGACGACATTACATAGTGGGGTCATAAGTTCTCGTGAATGCATTTCCGGTAATAAATCCCAAAGTATTAGAGCTATCTGTTCGAAATTTTTATGGATTAACAAGGTATTAATATTGTTTAGAAATCATAACTTCTTTGTCAAGATTTCGTCCACGGGCAATTAGACAAGACATAACTCGTGACGGCCACAGGTTGATCGTGGTACGCGCCAATTTTCGTGCCAAAAGTATTTCAGACTTTTCACCGTTGGCAAAAAATTTAATAGAAAAAAGGCCATATATTTGTTGTACAGAAGTCTGACATCCGTTTAAGTATGCGGAAGTCAATACGAAGTCATCACCGTGGTGTGCATGGGAGCAAGTTGGCTGGAGAAATGAAATCTCTGTTTTTTACCGCAAAGGGTACAAGTTGAAGCCAAGAATTATTTTCAGAGTGTCCTAGAGACAAACGTTAATAACCTGAACCCTGGACCCTCCGAAAATCGCCATTGGACCTTTCAACAAGACTCTGCTCATGCGCAAGGTGCAAAATTGTCCAAAACTGGCTTCAGACGAATTTTCATGACTTTTTTTCATCCGTAGAACGGTGCTCAGTATCTGCAGACCTTAATCCCCTAAATTATGACTGGTGGTCAAAATTATAGGTACAAGTATGCTCTAAATTTCACCCAAGTGTGGAAGGGCTGAGGTCGCACTTACTGAAGATCTGGCGCTTTTCCCTGGAAATCCGTGCGTGCCGCGATCGAGCAGTTTTCGCCACGACTTATGTCTTGTGTACAAGCCCGTGGAGGAAATTGTGAAAACGAAGTTATGATTTCTAAACAAGATTAATACCTTGTTCATCCACAAAAATTTCTATCAGATAGCTCTAATACTTTGGGCTTTATCACCGGAAACGCATTCACGGGAACTTATGGTCGGACTATGTATATTCATCCTGACAAATATTTTGTGGATTTACGTGCATATGAATTTCATATGAATGCGTATGTATTTACTGTGTATGACTTGGCAAGGTTTTTTCATTATTAATTTACAAATTCCTTTCGGCATATTGCAGATTAAAGTTGTCACAAGCTAAAGAAACGCACATTTCAAATTTTTTGGCTTCTTTGACTTGACACTCAAATTATAGGCGACGAACTTTTGTTGATGGTGATAGTTGTCTATCGCGTACGCTAACAAATAGTCTGCCAAACCACGAGCCTCTTTCTTACATAGTTTCTTTTGCGTAGTAGTATCACCTCGTAAGTAAGACCACCGTTGACCATTCATTATCAACACAGAACCCCATTACTGTACTTGTACAATCTTAATTGAACTAAAAATTGGCAATTTTGGCAACGAGATGCTTATCTTGTTTGGAAGAAGCAGACGAATCTCAATTTGGGTTACCTTTTGCCACCATCAACCATCATTGATTCGATTACCTCATTTTACTGACGCTACATGATTTATTATGATCATCTTGTACATTCATCTAGATATGAAAAAGAAAACCTCACAGGACAGCTTTGCATGGCCCGAACCAGGATTTGTTTTTTATTAGGAAACATTTTTGAAATTTCAAAGTTTCAAAGAAAGATTTCTGGCAAATTTTGTAAAAATTGGTCAACGCGTTCTAGAATTATCAAAAGACCGACGGACGGACGAATATGACGATTACATAAGCCCTCGCTCGTGCTAAAAGATATGAGAAAGATATGCTGCACAACATGTGGTGTTATTTCGCATTCTTCGCACTTTTCCTTCCATTTAATAATACCATTAACAAATGGAACTAGAACCAATAGGTAGTTTATTATGATAAAGCGCACACACATGTCCCATTATACATACTTAAAGATATGTAATAACATCTGCTCCGTAATTTGCGGACTTCTTTAAGAATTAGACAAACTAAATTGAAAACTATTTACTTATTTAATCAGTTTACTTTGATATTGAGCTTAACGTCTAAATTAGAAACTTTCTACGCGCTAATTATTTATTCTATAATAAAATCTAACGGCTTTGTTTGGGCCTCTGAAATGATTCCGTATGTGAATAGACCAATTCTCTGAAAGTAAATATTAGCACACGTTTCGACATTTTTTTTTGGTAAATTTGACTTTTGCAACAACACATTTGAACCGACGAACCAAGCGTTACGTCAGATTTTGTGTACTTTGTGTACATACACGTTTGCTTATAATTACATATTTCCTCAACGACTACAGACTTATTATGACGACCAATTTTAGTGCTTCATTACTCTCGTTTTTTTTCATTAAACGAGTTGAGAAGATTTTCAAGAAAGATTTAAGACATTGTTTCAACTTGGTCCATCATTATTAGTGAGCTTACGGCACACTTAACTTTTTGTCCATATATGAAAACTCACATTAAGGACTGGACTATTAGTTTTTCGCAACTAATTTCCTGTCGCCTGCCTGCCTGTTTTGTTGTAAATAGCAAATAATTTTTTAACAGTGTGTGGTGTTACCTCACTTTCTTCGATTTTTGTATTGTAAAAATTCAGTTCAAACTCACCTTAATCAGTCCACATATTCTTATACGCGGACACAATAGGGCGGTGGATCCTCGCATCATCACTGCAATTGTGCATCAAATCAGCATGTGGTACACAACAGAATGCATGCCACGCAATGAAAAATAACCATCTTATGACATTCCACGCTTTGCATTGCATTGTATGTATATAGATCATTAATTTGTTATGCGAAAATTCCCCACCACCGCCAACTTTAGCAAAGGGTTAAATATTATAATAATGATTTAATTCAATTCACTCTAAATTCTGTATTAAAGTGAAACAACAATAATATCTAAAAAGTAAGAGTTGGATGGATGTAAAATAATCTCGCATTCTTTTTGACATGACCACACCTAATTTTAAAATTGTCGCAGTCACAACTTTATGCCAAATTACAAAAGGAAGTAAAATGGGATTGCACTTTCATTGTATTATCTTAATTTGCATCTCGTCGTTCTTCGTACAACCAACTCTTTTTTTCAAATCTTTTAATTCCGATTTGCATTCATTCAGAGGTACAATGAATAGTTATAATTGCAAACGGTTGGAAATTATTCGTCTTATTTTTACTTGTTCGCAATCCTCCTCGTGACAAGAAGATTTTCTCAAAGGCAAAGGAATATTTTTAATAAAAGGGATATAATCTGATAGGTAGATAGGCTGTAAATATAGGTATTCATTACGAACCCCCTTATGAATATTTTTCCAATTTGAAATGCATCCTAAATTATGTGCAAGATATTTGATACGAGCTACTGTTCCATGTAAATCCGCACTTTTTTCCATATTATAGCTCTTTAAATCATAACTCATCATTTAATTGATGCATCGTCACATTTATGCTTATACAACGGCTCGCTTTGTGTAATTAATGCATTTATTTAGTTGTTTTTTTCTTCCATAAAAATGTGTACATTGTTGCCCACACATCAGCATCTCGCAACTTATATAACTTATTTGCATGATCTGTATTTGTGTATCAAGAAGTGACTAATTTATTGCATTGTTTGCTACTCGTTCTTCTCGCAGAGAGGTGCCAACAGAAGGGTGTACGCCCTGGCTAATTGTATTGTTACCATAAAGAAATGACATTATTCAATATTTATGACATTAATCTTCTTACGCAGGCAGTTGATACAATAAACCGCACACGATGAGGAGGTCAAAAGCAGTCCGTTTCGAAATTCTTGGGAGACAAGTGACTTGATGGATTCACCTAAAAGAATGTGAACGAACACTAATGAACAGGATTTATTTGACGTTATAATTCTCTCATTATAAAAATATGCAACAACTACTTCCAGCTGCAGAAAATGGACTGAATAATGTGATGCACCAAGATTTATGTACTTGTTGGATTTGTTCCTAATTTTGCAGCAAATTCAAGGAGTGTGTAAATTAATAGCACACAATGTTGGATCAAGGAATGATTTACGAGTAGCTACGTATCTTAATGGAATTTGTTGAGAGAGCAGTTTTAATTTAATTAGCATTTCTCTAATCTTCTTCTTCTTTCAGTCGACAACAAACAAAGTGCGCTCATGTATCTTTTGTGGTACAAGTATCCTCATAAATAAAAGAAATCATGGTCATCGAGAAGAGGTGTTGACGGTAAACACTTGAGCTTAAAGATAATTCTGCATGGAAGGAATTTCACATGAATTAAAACATCTCTCCAACAAGTACATATTGCAGCCAGGAATGACACAATTTTTCGTCATTGTGAGTTATGTCACCTTCCACCAAGTCC